GTGTTAGTGTTCAGCAGAAGTTTGTGGTTACAGGAAAGTGGGTGCGGGAGGGAAGAGGAGCGATTGGTGGAATGATGATGTAAAGAGAGTAGTAAGGGAGAAAAAGTTAGCATATGAGAAGTTTTTACAAAGTAGAAGTGATGCAAGGAGGGAAGAGTATATGCAGAAAAAGAGAGAGGTTAAGAGAGTGGTGAAGCAATATAAGAAGTGAGCAAATGAGAGAGTGGGTGAGATGTTATCAACAAATTTTGTTGAAAATAAGAAAGTCTTAGAGTGAGATTAACAAGTTAAGGAAGCCTAGAGAACAAATGGATTTGTCAGTTAAAAATAGGAGAGGAGAGTTATTAAATGGAGAGTTAGAGGTATTGGGAAGATGGAGGGAATATTTTGAGGAATTGTTAAATGTTGATGAAGATAGGGAAGCTGTGATTTCATGTATAGGGTAAGGAGGAATAACATCTTGTAGGAGTGAGGAAGAGCCACTTGTGAGTGTGGGGGAAGTTCGTGAGGCAGTAGGTAAAATGAAAGGGGGTAAGGCAGCTGGGATTGATAGGATAAAGATAGAAATGTTAAAAGCAGGAGGGGATATAGTTTTGGAGTGGTTGGTGTTATTATTTAACCCTTTGACTGTTTTCGACGTATAAATACGTCTTACGAGCCAATGTTTCTGATGTATATATACTCAATAATTCTAGCGGCTTCAAATCAAGCGGGAGAAAGCTGGTAGGCCCACATGTGAGAGAATGGGTCTGTGTGGTCAGTGTGCACCACATAAAAAAAATCCTGCAGCACACATTGCGTAATGAGAAAAAAAAAACTGATCGTTTTTTTGGAATAAAACGCCGACTTTGAGGTGTATTTTCGTATAGTATTTATCGTTGTATTCACGTTTTCATGGTCTTAGGTGATAAAATGGAAAACATATTACAGAAATAGAGATGATTTTCATTACTTTTACGATGAAAACGACCTTGAAACTGAGCTCAAAGTAGCGGAAATGTTCGATTTTTACCAATGTTCAAGAGTAAATAAATCACACCACACGTCCAATACATGTCAACTGGGGAGTCTAATATTCTTTCACTAGTGCACTGATATTATTTATACCATTTTTACAATAATTCAGTCGTCTGCATAACAGTAAATTTTGTATTTTTTTGTATGAAAAAAAAATAAAAATAGAAAGCAATAATAATATAAGAGGGGCCTAGAGATGTGACTAATGAACAGAGCATATGTTACTTTAGTGCCACGAATGTCTACCTTGTTTATTCTGGACCCTATTTTGAAATTGGCATCTTTTTTAGTTTGCGTGAAATTGGCCAAATTGCCAATTTCTGACCACCATATTGGGTAGTCCAAATTAGTAAATGGGAGGTTTCTTGTACTCAGCTGATAGATAAAATGGAGTTCTAAAGAAATAGCTATGAGTTTGGTCAACTGGAACAATGGAATTGGCTGAAAATAGGGCTCAAAGTCGGCGAAATCGCCGATACGCATATGTCGCCGAGACCGCTAACTTCGCGGGAGCATAATTCCACGAGTTTTCGACCAAATTTCGAACTTTTGGTGTCATTACCATCGGGAAAAGATTCTCTATCATTTCATAAGAAAAAATAATTTTTTTTTTTTCAAAAATTGAGCGACATAGAATGACAGTTTCAGAGAGGGGCCTGAAACAGTCAAAGGGTTAAATGTATGGAAGAGGGTAAGGTACCTAGGGATTGGCAGACAGCATGCATAGTTCCTTTGTATAAAGGCAAAGGGGACAAAAGAGAGTGCAAAAATTACAGGGGGATAAGCCTGTTGAGTATACCTGGTAAAGTGTATGGTAGAGTTATTATTGAAAGAATTAAGAGTAAGACGGAGAATAGGATAGCAGATGAACAAGGAGGCTTTAGGAAAGGTAGGGGGTGTGTGGACCAGGTGTTTACAGTGAAACATATAAGTGAACAGTATTTAGATAAGGCTAAAGAGGTTTTTGTGGCATTTATGGATTTCGAAGAGGCGTATGACAGGGTGGATAGGGGGGCAATGTGGCAGATGTTGCAGGTGTATGGTATAGGAGGTAGGTTACTGAAAGCAGTGAAGAGTTTTTACGAGGATAGTGAGGCTCAAGTTAGAGTATGTAGGAAAGAGGGAGATTATTTCCCAGTAAATGTAGGCCTTAGACAAGGATGTGTGATGTCACCGTGGTTGTTTAATATATTTATAGATGGGGTTGTAAGAGAAGTAAATGCGATTGTCTTGGCAAGAGGTGTGGAGTTAAAAGATAAAGAATCACACATAAAGTGGGAGTTATCACAATTGCTCTTTGCTGATGACACTGTGCTCTTGGGAGATTCTGAAGAGAAGTTGCAGAGGTTGGTGGATGAATTTGGTAGGGTATATAAAAGAAGAAAATTAAAAGTGAATACAGGAAAAAGTAAGGTTATGAGGATAACAAAAGAGATTAGCTGATGAAAGATTGGATATCAGATTGGAGGGAGAGAGTATGGAGGAGGTGAATATATTCAAATATTTGGGAGCGGACGTGTCAGCGGATGGATCTATGAAAGATCAGGTGAATCATAGAATTGATGAGGGGAAAAGGACGAGCGGTGCACTTAGGAGTCTGTGGAGACAAAGAACTTTGTCCTTGGAGGCAAAGAGGGGAATGTATGAGAGTATAGTTTTACCAATGCTCTTATATGGGTGTGAAGCATGGGTGATGAATGATGCAGCGAGGAGAAGGCTGGAGGCAGTGGAGATGTCATGTCTAAGGGCAATGTGTGGTGTGAATATAATGCAGAGAATTCATAGTTTGGAAGCTAGGAGGAGGTGTGGGATTGACAAAACTGTTGTCCAGAGGGCTGAGGAAGGGTTGTTGAGGTGGTTCGGACATGTAGAGAGAATGGAGCGAAACAGAATGACTTCAAGAGTGTATCAGTCTGTAGTGGATGGAAGGCGGGGGTAGGGGTCAGCCTAGGAAAGGTTGGAGAGAGGGGGTAAAGGAGGTTTTGTGTGTGAGGGGCTTGGACTTCCAGCGGGCATGCGTGAGTGTGTTTGATAGGAATGAATGGAGACAAATGTTTTTAAATACTTGACGTGCTGTTGGCGTGTGAGCAAAGTAACATTTATGAAGGGATTCAAGGAAACTGGCAGGCCGGACTTGAGTCCTGGAGATGGGAAGTACAGTGCCTGCACTCTGAAGGAGGGGTGTTAATGTTGCAGTTTAAAAACTAGTGTAAAGCACCCTTATGGCAAGACAGTGATGTCGTGGGGGTTTGTTAGGAGATAAGAGGGTTGAAGGTAGACACACTTATTGGATGGTAACACTATATATATTGTCAGACTGTGGATGGGAGCCCAGGCCTGCCGTGTTCTGCCTGCTTGTATGTCTATCCGTCGAGTGAGGGCAAGGCAGAGCATCTCACTCGACGGATAGACATACAAGCAGGCAGAACACGGCAGGCCTGGGCTCTCATCCACAGTCTGACAATATATATAGCGTTACCATCCAACAAGTGTGTCTACCTTCAACCCTCTTATCTCCTAACGAACCCCCAGAACAGTGATGGAGTGAATGATGAAAGTTTTTCTTTTTTGGGCCACCCTGCCTTGGTGGGAATCGGCCAGTGTGCTAATAAAAAAAAAAATTAATATGGCGTCTTCACGAGTAGAGGGACTCTTAGTGATTTTAATATGTACCTGCATGCCAGCACAGTAAGTATATTTAGGTACAGATACACATAGGTATAATTATGCAACGACTTAACCCTCTAACTGCTTCAGTCGTATATATATGTCTTACGAGCCAATGTGTTTGACGTACATATACTCAAAAATTCTAGCGGCTTCAAATCAAGCAGGAGAAAGCTGGTACTCCCATATGTAAGAGAATGGGTCTGTGTGGTCACTGTGCGCAGTATTAAAAAAAATCCTGCAGCAAGCAGTGCATAATGAGAAAAAAAAACTCCATTTTTGGATTAAAATGCCGACTTTGAGGTGTATTTTCGTATAGTATTTATTTTTGTATTTTCGTTTTCTTGGTTTCATTTGATAAAATGGAAGACATATTATAGAAATAGAGATGATTTTGATTGGTTTCACTATGAAAAGGACCTTGAAATGGAGCTCAAAGTAGCGGAAATGTTCGATTTTTACCGATCTTCAAGAGTAAACAAATGACATCATTGTTCAATAAATGTCCACAGTCATTCTAATACGCAGTCACAAATGGATTGACATTATTTATACAATTATTACAATAAAGCAGTAGCCTGCGTAACAGTAAATCTTTTATTTTTTGTGTGAATAAAAATTCAAAATAGAAAGGGAGACATGACTGATGAACAGAGAAAATGTTATTTTAGTGCCAGTTATGTCTGCATTGTTCATTCTGGACCCTATTTTGAAATTGGCATATTTTTTTAATTTGCATGAAATTAGCCAAATTGCCAATTTCTGATCATTTTATTAGGTAGTTGAAATCGGTAAATGGGAGGTTTCTTGTACTCAATCGATAGAACAAATGGAGTTCTAAAGAAATAGCTATGAACTTGGGGGCCCTACTGTATAGCTCTACTACTACTACTATACTACAAATAAGTATGGCAGTCACCCACACTAGACATACATTATGTTAACTTGTAAGTACTGTATGACCTTCGTGGGTTTAGCACCTAGGTTTAATTTTAACAATAATAACGTCATCTTGTACAAAAGTAATCCAAGTACTAGGCCTTCTCCATACACTGACATAGCCTACCCCCTTCTCCCCAGACCATCACACCCTTAATAAAACATCTACTATATTTACATAATCTGTGAATTTGTCTTTAATGTAAGATTTCATATTTGCAATCCATTCAAATAAATTTATCTAGTTATCATCTCATGATTATACCATGAAATAAACCTATATGAAAAAAGATACTGTACTTCTAAGACACCATACATGTACACAGTGTACTGTAAATTCAAATGTAAAGAAACTAAAAAAAAAAAAAATACTATACCTGAGATCCCTCTTCAGTACCACCCACAATTCTGAAACCAAAGCCTGTTTCCTGTCTCTTCAGAATCACGGTAAATTCCATGTAGCCAAGGTTACCATTAGGTCCAGTTGGCGGCACTCTTGGGTTTACACTATACCGCCCATCAGGAAATCTAAAGAAAAATTAATTAACATATATTACTCTTAATTGCTCATAATACTGAATCCCTACCTGAAGTGCTGTATGGCCCTTTCAGGTTACTTGCTCAATTTGATTATACATATTATCTAACTTACAGACACAGGGTGCCACATGGAAGACTCCTAGGCCCACTAATATTTCTCATCTACATCAATGACCTACATAATGCCTCCCAAGAACTTAAACCAACCCCATTAGCAGATCACACAACTTTTGTCATTGCTGATTCAGACATCCTTGTTCTCAACAACAATTGCTAATGATGAGCTTATAAAGATATTTACTTGGATGGTAACCATTAAACTATAATACTGACTGATAAGACATTCCACATAGTGTTTGGGAATAAAGCCAAGAAATTCAACTTACCCTAACTGTAAATAATACACACACTGGAAGACATGATAAGGGAAAAATTTTACTTATACATCCTGAAAGAAAAAAAAATTCAACCTTCATATCCACAATATATCTAGGAAATTTTTCAACCCTTTCATGGTCTCTTGTGTACATCTATATTACTAATACCAGTGTCACTCGCACAGATCTACGTTTAAAGCGCAGTGCTCTTAAATATGGTGAGCAGTAAATTTTGGCCTAGACATGAGAGAATAGGTCTGTATGGTAACTGTGCACAGTGTAAAAAAAAAAAAAAAAATCTGTCCCATGTTTGAATGATAGAAAAATGCAAACCTCTGATCCTGTGTTTGATTTAAAATAGCAAATCTAAAGAGTTCTCTAGGATGATACTCTTCAAGTCACTTATTCTCTCTAGGCTGGAATACTGCTGTATACTAACATCTCCCTTAAAGGCAGGCCAGATTGATGAGCTAAAAAATGTACAGACAACTTTCACTGCCTGTATACACACAGGCATCTAAACTACTGGGAATGCCCAAAGTTTCTTCAACTGTATTCCTTGGAATGTAGGTGAGACAGGTACATCATAACTTATACCTGGAAAATCCTAAAGGAATTGGTTGCAAACCTTCTGACCAAATTCATTCCATGTGAAAGCAAAAGACTTGGCAGATGGTGCAAAGTATCTCCATAAAAAGCAGGAGAACAAGAACACAGAGAGAACTGTTCGAGTGTCAGAGGTCCCAAACTCTTCAGTGCCCTCCCTCCTGGCTGTTTTTGAGAGGGAACTGGGTAAGTTTTTCAAAACAGTTCTCAACCAGTTGAACTGCATGCATCTAACAGTAACAACCTGGTTGACCTGGCCTTAATCCACTATCTGAGACTGAGCCATGGGTGCAATGAAACCTGTAAACATCCTTCAGGTATTGTGTAAGGTACCGTACAGTGTTTACCAAACATTTATACCAGATTTTTTTTTCTGGAACTATGACAACCCTTTCAAGTTTTTTTGGTGTAAATTTTAAAAAATCTAATGAATATATCTATCATCCTAAAAGCTAATAATAAAAATTATTACAACAGCATCCTACAAAGTGAAGAACTTACAGGCTTGACACAGCCTGGCATAACACAAAAATACGTATATATTTGTTTTAACAAACCAACCATCTATCACCAAGTTAGGGTGACCCAAAATATGTATAACATTTAACATTATTCATTAGCTGTCTTGCCAGAAGTGTGAATACATAACAATTGAGATGACCCTCTGACTTGCAACATCCTCATCCCACCTTCAGTGCAGGCACTGCACTTCCCACATCCAGAACTCAAATCACAGAACAGGTAGTGCTTGAACCCACGGTAGGAAAGTCCTAAAACTCACAGGCCACCTAACCAGCTGGCTCTGGTAAGATTTATCTAAGTATAATTCTGTATACCATTGGGAGGTTAACATGGACCCCACTGTAACCACAAATACAGATTTTTTACTGACAAATCACACACCAGCATGGCTGTGGCTTGCTCTAGCTCGTCCCTTCAAAGCTGCCAGTCATGATGACTCCAGGACTCATGTCTAGTTATTCTTGCTCACACTCCAACAGCACCTCAAGCCATGAAAACACTTTTTTATTAACTTTGATGTAACACTCGCAAGCCTGCTGAATGCTCACACTTCTACCACTCAAAACCCCTCCTCCAACCTTTCCTGGGGCAACCCCTACCTCTCCTATCTTCCACCCTAGATTTATACACCTACTTGATCATCTTATTGTGGTCTATCCTCTCTAAATGCTTAAACTACCTCAACAAACCCTCCTCAACCCTCTGAATTATACCTTTATTAACCTCACTCCCTAATCTAATTTCTACTCTCCAAATTCTGTGCATACTACTGTATTCACAACACAGTGCTTTCTAATGTGACATCTCCACTGCTTTCAGCCTACTTGCTGCAATGTTTAAAGTTCATGCCTCACATCCATACAAAAATATTGGTACCACCATATTCTGGTACATTTCACTTGCTGCCTTCATAAACTTCTTTCCACAGACGGCTAAACACACCACTTAACTTTTTTTCTCATATCCCCTCAGTGATTCACCTTGCATCTCATAGACCCATTTGCCGAGGTGTCCACTCCCAAATATGTGAATACATTAATTTTCTCTATACTCCCTCCAAACAGATGTCCAATCTTTCATAGCAGATGTAGTATACACAGATTTTGCAAAAGCCTTCAACAAATGTGACCATGGTGTAATAGCGCACAAAATGCGTGATAAAGGAATAACAGGAAAAGTTGGTAAATGGATCTATAACTTCCTGACAAATAGAACACAAAGAGTAATAGCAAAAAGAGTAAAGTCTGAGGCAGGTATGTTGAAAAGCTCTGTTCCACAGGGCACAGTACTCGTTAACATTCTATTCCTCATCCTCACATCTGACATAGACAGAGATGTAAGCCATAGCTCTGCGTCTTCCTTTGCCGATGACACCCGAATTGCCATGACAGTGACCTCCATTGAAGACACCGCAAGACTCCACAGCGGACAACAACCAAATCTTCAAATGGACCACTCAAAACAATATGAAGTTCAATGAAGAGAAATTTTAACTATAGCCTCTCCTCACTTAGTGACGTACTCATTTACTGACGACTCGGACTTACGACGTGCTCACTGACCAGTATACATACCTAAACAATAAATATTAGAGCTGATTTCCTCTATTCTGTTTATTACAATATACAGTACACTACTGTATAAACAATTGAAAAATATACTAAAAGTGCTATAAAAGGTGCAAGGATGATATTAAATCAATATCAAAGATGGTTGACATAAACCCACTACCATTAAAGTAAGCTCCTGGTTTAGCGACAAGTTAGTTTACCAACACAGTATTAGGAACAGAACTCTGTCGTTAAGTGAGGAGAGGCTGTACTCAGATATGAAAAACTTTAGGAAATTAAAACTGTATCAGGATATACAACAAATTCTAACCATAAAAAAAGAGCGAAAAAGTAATGTGAAGGACTTGGGATTGATAATGTCAGAAGATCTTGCCTTCAAAGACCACAATGTATCTACCACATCTGCTAAGAAAATGATAGGATGGATAATGAGAACCTTCAAAACTACGGATACCAAGCCCATGATGATTCTCTTCAAATTCCTTGTTCTTTCTAGGCTAGAATACTGCTATACACTAACTGCCTCCTTCAAGGCAGGCAAAATTGCTGACCTGGAGAGTGTACAAAGAACTTTCACAGCACACATAAGTATGATAAGGCACCTAAATTACTGGGAACAGTTAAAGTCCCTGGATTTGCATTCCCTGGAATGGAGGCGAGAGAGATGCATGATAATATACACTTGGAAAATCCTAGAGGGATTAGTACCAAACTTACACACAAAAATCATTCCCTATGAAAGCAAAAGACTCGGCAGGAGATGCAACATTCCCCCAGTGAAAAGCAGGGGTGCCACGAATACACTGAGAGACAACACAATAAGTGTCTGGGGGCCTCCCAGCATACATAAGGGGGATTACCAACAGATGCCTGGCTGTCTTCAAGAAGGCACTGGACAGGCACCTCAAGTCAGTACCTGACCAGCCAAGTTGTGGTTCATACGTCAGTTTGCATGTGGCCAGCAGTAACAGCCTGGTTGATCAGACCCTGATCCACCATGAGGCCTGGTCTCAGACCAAACTGTGGGGGCATTGACCCCCAAAACCCTCTCCAGGTATACCTATACTTTTTGTTATGTTTATCTCTCTGCATTTTTGTGTGTTCACTTTTAATTCCCATCTTTTATATACCCACCTAAATTCCTCCTCCAACCTTTGTAACTTTTCAGAAAAATATTAATAGAACTGTCTCACTCTCTCACACTCTCTCATTATTTATAATATTACCTGGGCATGCTGACTGGTGCTGGATGTTCGTATTCGAAGCTGGTTGACTCTTTCCTTCTCCCTAAACTGTCTGCTTGACTATTATAACCAGCAGAATTATTCTGGCCATAGTATGGAGGATAAGGATTCCTGGCAGGCGGGATTTGGGCTTGTGAACTGTATCCTGAGTCTTGACGAGGCAGGTCATAGCCATCTTTGGGGTACTGCATGTAGCCATAGCCTGAGTTTTGCTCCATACTTGTATTGTGATGATTGTTATTGATATGATTTGAGCTGCTACCATTATTTTCATTATAATAGGGATACTGAGAGTATCCCTGGTTGTTGTATTCCTTTGTCGGTGTCTTCGCTTGATTCCTTTTTATATCACTGTCATCACCGTGTTGTTGATAATAACTGTCTTGGGCATACAAGTCATGGTGATAATTATAACTGTTCTGATGAGGAGCTGGACCCTCGCCACGGAAACCCTGACTATCACCGATATAATTTTCGTAATTATTTTGTTCTAAACTAACCTGACTCATCTGAACAGACATGTTATTGACCTTGGTATCATACTGTGAATCTACTTGACCCCCTGTATATGAAAATGCACCTGGAAAAGGTGCATGTACAGAGGTAGGTGTATACAGGGGCCGGTAGTCTGTGTTACCTTCCATCTGTCTATTTCCTTCTCCAGACCCACTAATGTCAATTCCACTCATGACATTTGGGGTCTTAGGTCGATTACGAGTATCTACAAGTGGTGTCTTGGGTCTGTTTGGAATCACCTCCTTTGGCTGTGAACTGTACATATCTGCCGTGGGAGTTTTGCTTCTAAACAGCCCAGCTGCAACTCCAGACTTCTTCGGACTTGACTGTTCCTTTCGAAGTCCTCGAGACTTGGATGGAGAACTAAGCCCCCCTCGCTGCACCATGATTACCGCCTCTTGTCCCTGGGCACAGTCTTTAAGCACCTGCACTACTTCTGTGTGGCTCATTCCTTTCACATTTATATTATTTATGTCAACTAAAATGTCACCCTCTATCAAGTTTTTACACCTTCCACGATCTAATATTTTTTTTACTTTCTGGCCATATGCACTATCAGCTATTGTAAAGCCAAACCCATTAGTTCCTTTCACTATTGGTATAGTCAAATATTCAGGTTTGCTTAATGCTGAGGGGTAAAAATCCAAAATATCAGGAGTGTGATCAAAATTTTCTGAACTAAGGAGGTCAGCACTACCAGGCCTTGGAACCTGCTGCACACGTTCAGGATTACTCAGGTCAGGCATAGATTTTGCAGTATTCATACTTTCACTCGAATTATTCCTCGATCGTTCGTATCCTTCACCAAACACTGACTTAGAAGACCGAGCATCTGTAATCATAACATTGGAAATAATATTAGTCAGTATTCAGCAGTTTATAAACAAATACAGAATCCTGTGCTGATAGTCTTTACATATCATTAAAGGAATCTGAATTAATAATCACATATTTTCTTTTACCAAGCTGTAATTAGATATACAGTATATATGTACATAATAGAAATATATATATGACATTTTAAAGTCACAGCTCTAATTAATAGCAAATCTGGATAAAACTGCTCAATAGGCATATATACGAAAAATACGTTCAAGTACGAATAGCTAAGTAGAAAGTACAGTAAAGCATCAATTTAAGACCCAATTTAATAAACAAAATCTGTGACTGGATAACATCTAGAAACAACAGATAAAGTCCACTAAATCCAGAATTGTCCATTATTGTTATGGTTCACTAGCTTAATTGAATCTTGATTTAACAGAATTGTCCATCATTGTTATGATCATGAAAAATAATTTAATCTCATCATTCAGATTTGACAGACATTCGGTATTAACAGACAGCCCCTTCCCAATATCAGTCTGTTTAATTGTTTCATTGTGCTCACTGCTCAACTCTCTCAAAGAGGAAGCTGACTAACAAGTATTATTTCGCAATGTTCTCTGACTGATAAGAACTTCAATCTGTCCTCCAGTTCATATGCATTATTGTTACTAAACATCCAAGTTAAAATTTTAACAAGCATTATAATTACAATATGTAATTTTCTTACAGAGTGTAGTCTCATAAGCAAGTACATATGTGTAGTATTACTTGTAGCCATTTTGCTTGGTTAGGTTTGTTTTGGTCAAACTATATTCCTGCTCAAAACTAGCCTAACCTAACAAAACATTTACAAAAAACTTTTCCACACCAACTGTATCCCACCACAGTAGGACAAAAAAAAATAAGTATCAGTATCACAATCCAAATGAGCTTCTGAACTGAAACATTTCTACCCCTTCTTCAGAGTGCAGCCACTGTATTTTCCACCTCCAGGACTCAAGTCTGGCTAACCAGTTTCTCTGAATCCCTTCGTAAGTGTTACCATGTTCATATTCCAACAGAGTATGTCAAAACCTAAAAACCACTTGTTTCTACTATTATCTAACACAATAATTCACTCCTGATTGATCTTAAAGCCCTAACATCTCAAACTATCTTCACATCCTCCCTCCACCATTCCTAGGATAACCCTTACTCATTCTTTCATTCTATTCTGCTAATTCTTTGCATATTATTCACACTATTCATTGGTCTCAAACATAACATCTCCACTACTTCCAGCTTCCTCCTTCCTGTAGCAATTAAAACCCATGCAAAATAGGATGCCTTAGAGATTGTATAAATTTATAGTGGAGGGAAGGAAGGGTAGGGGTTGTCCAAGGAAAGCTTGTAAGTAGGGGTAAAACAGACTGTGTATGCCAGGGGCTTGGACATCCAACAGGCATGTGCAAGAATTATAGATAAGAGTAAGTGGAGGCAAATGGTTTTTATGATTTGACGTGCTGTTGGAGTGTGAGCAAGGTAACATTTATGAAGGTATTCAGGAAAACCAGTTAGCTGGGCTAGAGTCCTGGAGGTGGGAAGTACAGTGCTTCCACTCTGAAGGAGAGTTAGGGATACTGTAATTTGAAGGAGCATCAACTACAAAATGGATACTTATATGATGTAATCTTGCCAACACTACATTTCATAACCCATTGCTATTATACTTATGAAAACAAAACAGTATCTTATCCTAACTCACCAGCTGATGTAACAGCTACTGTAGTCACAATTTCTGTGTTGGGGTCATTAGGATCAAAAGGTAAAGGGTAGCCTCTGCAAACTTCCAGGTACACTGTTCTACCAGGATCAATGTTTTGGAACATGTTCACCACATCAGCATGGGTGTATCCCAACACACATGTATCCCCTACATAAACTAGCACATCCCCTGTAAGAACAATGTAAAAGTGAGAGTATATTTTTATTTGTAATATGACAATCAGCCTAGCACGTTCAATACAAACAATTTAATTAACACTGAGAATATATATTTTAGCATTTTAACTGAGTAAAAATTACCAGTTCGAAGTTTTCCATCCTGCCATGCCGGGCCATTAGGTACAACACTTTTTATCTGGAGAAACTCCTCTTCATTATCATCTCCCCCAACAATCGTAAACCCCAAACCTCGGGAAGACTTAACAAGACTGGTGCGTATGAATTCACCTTGTAGTTCTGCTGGATTGCGTGTAAACAATACACCTTGTCCAGAGCGTTTCTAAAAACCCAAAAACAAACCTTTTATTATCTACCTGCATGATAACTATCATGCTACAGATTAGGAGAATTTAATCACTGGCTTTATTATAATGTTCACACAAGTTTCACAACCTTATGAATCTTTCAAAAACAAATAATGTGGGGGTCAAACCTTGCAGGCTCAGTCTCAAGAATCCTGTAAATTATGTACTATACTGGACAGACTATGTTTATGGAATTAAAAAATTTTCATAACTATTGAAAAATAGTAGTACTGGGGTGGACCGAGTTACTAGACACCTGAATGACCAGAGATAATGTGAAATAATGCTTTATGTGGTGTTCAGTGTGTTTATCAAAATCAGACCTAAGAGGTTTGTGATTATTGTAAAGTGGATGAAGAAGGAAAGAATAATGACTAATAGAATGAGATGAGAAGAGCAATAGAGGAAAAAAATTAGAATATAAAGGTTTTACAATAAAAAACTTAAAGACAAGCAGACCTTGTGGGAAAAAATTTAAAGGGTTTAAAATACAGTGCGGGTTTTTTTTTCTGTCTCATAAACACGCTAAGATAACAGGGTATCTTTTAATCCTACTTCACTTTTGGCACACTTTACAGACACGCACTGCATATTATAATACTACATCTAGGGTTTTTCTCCCTTTTTTTAAATCTCTTGTTCTTTTTTATTTTTTCTATTGTCCCTGGGGAAGGGAAAAGAAACTTTCCTCCGAAGCCATGCGTGTCGTAAGGCACTAAAAACCGGGAAATCTAGTAACCCCCTTTTCCGTATACAATTATAAAAAAAAGAAAAGAAAAACTTTTTAAACCTGGGGTTTCTTAAATGTCGTGGGGTAGTGCGGATGACAAGAAACAGAGATTCTGATGTTTTGAATGAAAAGAAATTGGTGTCCTGGCCCTAACGAAACAAAGCTGAAGGGGGTAGGGGATTTTAGTGGGGGAAATAAAGGGGGTTAAATCTGGAGTATCTGGAGAGTTAGAGCAAAAAGGGAAGGGGGAGCAGTAATGTTTAAAAGACGTTATGGAAGGAGAAAAGAGAAAATGAATGTGAAATTCAAGAATTTGTGGATTAAAGTAAATTGATGGGGAAAATGGGGATAATAAGGTGTATGCACCTGGAGAAGGAGGAATGCAAGGGGAAGAGAGGATTTTGGGAGATGTTTAAGGGAAAGTATAGGACCCTTGAACCAGGTGAGAGGTATTTGGGTGGGGGCTTGAATGCTAAAGTGGAAAAAAACTTTTGAGGGGGTTGGTAGGTAATTTTTGGGGTCCAGGTGAAAATGAAATGGGAGCCCTTGATTGAACTTTGTATAAAAGGGGGGGTTTTAGTTATAGGAAAAACCCTTTTTTAAAAAAAAGAGGAAAAAAAAGAAACCCGAATGATGAGGGCGAAATGACGTAGTTGTTGGATTATGTATTGGTAGATAAAAGACTGTTGAGTAGACTTGGGAAATGTACATGTTTATAGAGGGGCCACAGATATACCCAGATCACTTTCTAGTTGTAGCACACTGAGAGTAAAAGGTAGATGGGATACAAGGAGAATAGAAGCATCAGGGAAGAGAGGGGTGAAGGTTTATAAACTAAAAGAGGAGGCATTTTAGGGTAAGATATAAACAGCTATTGGAGGATAGATGGGCTAATGGAGCATAGGCAATGGGTCGAAGGGGTATGGGGTAGGTTTAAAAATGTAGTTTTAGAGTGTTCAGCAGAAGTTTGTGGTTACAGGAAAGTGGGTGCAGGAGGGAAGAGGAGCGATTGGGGGAATGATGATGTAAAGAGAGTAGTAAGGGAGAAAAAAGTTAGCATATGAGAAGTTTTACAAAGTAGAAGTGATGCAAGGAGGGAAGAGTATATGGAGAAAAGAGAGAGGTTAAGAGAGTGGTGAAGCAATGTAAAAGAGAGCAAATAGAGAGTGGGTGAGATGTTATCAACAAATTTTGTTGAAAATAAGAAAAAGTTTTGGAGTGAGATTAACAAGTTAAGAAAGCCTAGAGAACAAATTGATTTGTTCAGTTAAAAATAGGAGAGGAGAGTTATAAAGGAGAGTTAGAGGTATTGGGGAAAATGGAAGGAATATTTTGAGGAATTGTTAAATGTTGATGAAGATAGGGAAGCTGTGATTTCGTGTATAGGGCAAGGAGGAAAAACATCTTGTAGGAGTGAGGAAGAGCCAGTTGTTGAGTGTGGGGGAAGTTCGTGGGCAGTAGGTAAAATGAAAGGGGGTAAGGCAGCCGGGATTGATGGGATAAAGATAGAAATGTTAAAAGCAGGTGGGGGTATAGTTTTGGAGTGGTTGGTGCAATTATTTTTAATAAATGTATGGAAGAGGGTAAGGTACCTAGGGATTGGCAGAGAGCATGCAATTCCTTTGTATAAAGGCAAAGGGGATAAAAGAGAGTGCAAAAAATTTTAGGGGGATAAGTCTGTTGAGTGTACTGGTAAAGTGTATGGTAGAGTTATAATTGAAAGAATTAAGAGTAAAACGGAGAATAGGATAGCGATAAACAAGGAGGCTTTGGGGAAAGGTGGGGGTGTGTGGACAGGTGTTTACGTGAAAAAATATAAACGTATTTAATGGGCAAAAAGTCTTTGTGGTTTAGGGATTTGGAAAAGGGCGTATGACAGGTGGATGGGGGGGCATGGGGAGATGTTGCAATGTATGGTGTAGGGGTGGGTTACAAAAAACAGGAAGAGTTTTTCGGAAGTGAGGCCAATTTAGGTATTAGGAAAGGGGGAAATTTTTTCCCATAAAAGTGGGCCCTTTTAGACGGTTGTGGTTTGTCACCGTGGTTGTTTAATATATTTATAATGGGGTTGTAAGAAATAAATGCAGGGTCTTTTGGGAAAGGGGGTGGATTAAAAAATAAGAACACCACAAAGTGGGAGTTGTCACGCTGCTCTTTGCTGTGACACGTGCCTTGGGAGATTCTAAGGAATTGCGAGATTGGTGGAGAATTTTGGGGAGGGTGTGCAAAAGAAGAAAATTAAAGTGAATACAGGGAAAAAGTAAGGTTTGAGGGTACAAAAAGATTTGGTATGAAAATTTAATATCAGATTGAGGGAGAGGTATGGAGGAGGGGAACGTATTCAATTTTGGGGGTGACGGGTCGGGTGGGTTTATGAAAGATGAGGTGAATCATAAAATTTGAGGGGGAAAAAGAGTGAGTGGTGCATTAGAGTCGTGGGGAAAAAGAATTTTGTCCTTGGAGGAAAAGGGGGAAAAGTAGGGAAGTAATTTTCCAAACGCTCTTTAATGGGGGAAAGCGGGGTGATGAATGTTGCAGCAGGAGAAGGCTGGGGGCGTGGAGATTCATGTCTGAGGGCAATGTGTGGTGGAATATAATGCAGAGAATTCGTATTTGGAAGTTGGAGGAGGGGCGGGATTCCCAAAAAACTGTTGCCCCAGAGGGCTGGGGAAGGGTTGTTGAGGGGTTTCGGACAGTGGGAAAGAAGGAGCAAAACGAATACTTCAAAGGTATCATTTTAGGGGAAAGGAAGGGGGGGGGGGGTGGGCCTGGGAAAGGGGTTTTTGGAGGGGGGGGGAAAAAAGGGGTTTTGTGCGGGGGGCGGGGGACTTCCAAGGCATGCTGAGGTGTTTGATAGGAGTGAATGGAGCAAATGGTTTTTAATACTTGCGTGTTTTGGGAGTGTGAGCAAAGTAACATTTATAAAGGGGATTCAGGGAAACCGGCAGGCCGGACTTGAGTTCGGGAGAGGGGAATTAAGTGCCTGCACTCGAAGGGGGTTTAAGTTGCGTTTTAAAACTGTAGTGAAAAAGACCCTTCGGGCAGACAGTGAGGGAGTGAATGAGGGGGTGAAAGTTTTTCTTTTTGGGGCCCACCCCCCCTTTGGGGGGAATGGCCCCGGGGGGATAAAAAAAAAAATACAGGTAGATTTAGAATAAAGCAATGGATGATTCTTACAACATTTTTCCTAAAAAAAAATAAGGGGAGAAAATCTGTGCAAAAATGAACTTTTAGCAAGGAAAAAAAAGGTGGGGTGCGTTGAGGTATTGTGGGGACAAAAAAAAAAATTTATTTGGAGGCAAAGAAAAGGAAACGTATGAAAGAAGCAGTACCAACACCCTGTATGGGTGTGAAGCTTGGGTTGTAAATGCTCAGCGAGGAGGGGGGGTGGAGGCAGTGGAGATTCCCGTTTGGTGTAATATTATGCAAAATTTTGGGGTGTGGGAATTAGGAGGGGGTTGGAATTATCAAAGTATTAGCCCGAGGGATGAAAAGGGGGTTTTTAAAATGGTTTGGGTTTTTGGGAAAGGATCAAAGGTAGAATATTGGAACTGTAGAAAACGTAGGGGAAGGGAGGGGTTGGGGTCGTCCTCAAAAAGGTTGGAGGGAGGGGATAAAGAAGTTCTTGTGGGCGAGGGGCTTGGACTTCCAGCAAGTGTGTGTGAGTGTGTTAGATAGGAGTAAATGAAGACAAATTGTGTTTAGGATCTGATGAGCTGTTGGAGTGTGAGCAGGGTAATATTTAGTGAAGGGATTCAGGGAAGCTGGTTATTATAGATTTTAGCCGGACTTGAATCCTGGAAATGGGAAGTACAATGCCTGCACTTTATAGGCGGGGTCTGGGATACTGACAGTTTGAAGGGACTTCTAAACTGTCGTATCTGAGCACCTCTGCAAAGACAGATTATGCACGAGTGAGGTTAAAGTGTTGAATGATGATGAAAGTATTTTCTTTTTGGGGATTTTCTTTCTTTTTGAGCCACCCTGCCTTGGTGGGAGACAGCCGACTTGTCGAGAAAAAAAATTAGAAAAAAATTATTAAATGTAGATGAAATGAAAGGTGTCACAGTTGTCTTTGAAGATTTTCAAAAATTGCAAAAGTTGGCAGAGTAGCAGTAGAGAGAGATGTGTCAATTATTATTATAATCTTGGGGGAGTGCTAAACCCATAGGATTATACAGCACATGTGGGGGGGGGGGGAATGGAAGGCATTCAGGCTCAATTCAGGGAACTGGAGCACAGATCCAATTCCCTAGATCAAGAGCCCCTCACCAGCATCAAAGAACCTCCCTTGAGGAGAGAAATATGTCAAGACAGAAGCTAAAAGAAAACACAAAAGTGCAAGGAGAGAGTAAGGAATCTAGAGAATTAAAGATTAGAAGGCACAAGTATGTGTATGTACATATCCCACAGGATAACGGATTACTAGTCCCTTGTTATCAGCATTTTAGTTGCCTCTTACGACATGCATAGCTTACGGAGGAAGAATTCTATTCTACTTCCCCATGGAGATAAGCAGAAATAAACAAGAAACTAGTAAGAAAATAGAAGAAAACTCAGAGGGGTGTGTATATATATATATATATATATATATATATATATATATATATATATATATATATATATATATGCTTGTACATGCATGTGTAGTGTGACCTAAATGTAAGTAGAGGTAGCAAGACGTACCATCCTACCATTATATATCTTCTTTCAACAAACCAGCTGTATCCCACTGAAGCAGGGTGGTCCAAAAAGAAAAACAAAGTTTCTCCTCTTATATTTAGTAATATATACAGGAGCAGATAGATCTACAAAAGATGAGGTGAATCATAGATTGTACATGGGAACAAAAGTAGTAGTGGTGTTCAAGTCTGTGAAAATTGGTAATACAGTACAGTATGCTCAATAACTGCCCACAAGCAGACAGAAACTCAGAATATTAATTGATCTGTATATTCCTCCCCCTTCTGGGATCCTCTTCAGTTCAGATCCTCTTCTGAAAAGGATCCTAAAAGGGTGTCAAAATATATAGCTCTACAAATTTTCTGAGTTTCTGTCTCCATGTGGGTTAATATTGAGTACTGACAGGTGTTCATTACACTTTAGTTATTCCCTGTACAATATATTCAATGAGGAAGCACTGAACCAATAATGTTCATTAAGTGTCTAAGTCTGTTAAAAAAAAAATTGTCTATGGAAGGAAAGACAAGTGCATCAGAGAACAGTTATCCATACAAATTCACATGGGTTGTATTCCTAGATATCTCACAAAACCAGAGACCACAAAAAATACAAAATTAAGTCTATATAATAAATTTTATTTCAAATTTTGGTTCATTTTACGTTTGAGACTGTCTCTCTAATAAATGATTCTAATCTAGCTAATATTTTAACTCCTAACAAATAATGATCAGAAGAGAGAGATTTGGGATTGGGAAAGCCACAAAACCAGAAAAGCATTGGATAATTGAATTTTTTTACTAGTCGCCTTCCATATAAACATTAGACACTCTACAAGTGAATGGGGGTAAAAACTGTAGGGATGATGTTAGTGATGCTCATATTTTCATACTGGTTTGATGAATGATCTTTAAATGTTGTAGTGAGAAGGTGGTTGGATGATTTGGAAATGCTATATTTGAGATCAATGTGTTGTGGGAATATTACCAAGAATAAATAGTGAAAAAGTTAGAAACAGTGTGGTGATATGAAGTATAATTCAGAGAGAATATGGATTATTGAGATGGTTTTGTCATTTAGAGAAGATAGAGCAAGACTGATTAACAAAGAGGGTGTATAAAGCAGAAGTGGATAAAAGGTGTAGGGAATGTCTGAGGAAGGGTTGAAAGTGATGCAGCGTTGGAAAGGTAGCAGCTTGACCATCCAGCAAACACATGTTACTATGTTACACTGGAGTGGAGGGAAACAGTCTTCTGGGATCTGAAGTACTGTTTGAGTGTGAGCAAAGTTATGTATGTGAAGGGATATAGAAGCAGTCAGCAGGATCTGAGTTTTGGAGATGGGAAGTACAATTCCAGCACTTTGAAAACTGGTTTGCCATTCAGTGAGTCATTAGACCGTAATGTCTGTACCCTTTTGTCAAGACAGCAAAATAAAATTAAAAATCATTTCCTCATAAAATAAGTGAGGCCACTACAGAATAATACATAAATTTCAAAAATTTGTGAAAAATGGTTACTAAGTTAGTTGTTTTCACATTCAACCACCCAAACTTATTAAGTAGCTTTGAGTGTAGCATATCTTATTAGTGTGTTATCATTATTAGTGAGCAAAAAAAAAAAAAAATCCACACATCAGGTACCATCAGAAAATATTTTATCAGGACAAGCCCCTAAATACTGCATTCCAATTCACATACAGAAATAAATATTAATATAATCTAAATTACAAACAAAACGTCATAGCTTTAGTCAGCCCAGCAAGACAATCATTAGCATAAGCATTAAGCAGCCAACACTATCTGGTGAATACCTTTCCGTCTTAAGCTGACTGCCGATACTACAGGGTCCTCCGATGGACGGTAGAGGGGGGATGCAGATGGGGTAATAGCAGTGTAAGAATAATAGCTGGAGAATGATCTTTGGTGATGAATCATAGGATATGACAAATCCTGACTACTTGACAGTGGAGAAGAGAGAAAACGATTAAGTGGAATTGGTCCAGGAGAAGGAAACTGGATGGGAGAGGAAGAGTAACTCCATGGATGGCTAGGTGAGAGAGACTGCCCTGAGCTAACACACCAGGAATTAGAAAGATTGTTTACACTACTCTTTGGACTACTGTAAGACCTCCCAAATGATGGGGATGGACCCTTTGGAGAGGATGAGGCTTGAGGTACTCGGGGATGAAGGAAATTTGGAGCAATGGTTTGGTAGTTTGGAAAGTGAGGTTTGGCAAAATTTGGTACTATTGTTTGATTAAAAGTAGGATTCTTTACCTCTTGACTTTTAAGACCTTGACTTAGTATAAGTTGCTGGTTTTTACTAACATTACTTTGCTTACTGGCAGGAATATTTTGATCATTTGGATATATATTTTTGGAAGAGAGAGCTAAATTATTTGGCTTTAAAACCTGAGAACCTGGTGACAAATTATTTGTCTTGTAAGGAGCACCACTGGCCAGATGCACTGGATCCATGGGATTTGAAATTATAATGTTTTGTCTATCTATAAGATTAGAATGCTTAGGTGATATATCAGGATGTTTGTGATTAGGAGAAAGAGAGCGAGGACGTGGGAGGGAGTTCTTGTCCATACGGTTGTGGACCCTTTTACTCGTTTGCTGCGCTTGTACCTGCAGCTTAGTGTCTTTGCCTTCTGATGCCAAGCACGGTAAACAGGGCAGGTACAGCATGAGCCCTAGAACAACCCAGAGACAATTCACTTACAAACAAAGGCAAGCAAGTCAAACTATTTAGCCAAAGACAATATAAATTTATGATACGTTTTTGTTGCTTGCACAATAACACGTAACTATTTCTTCCTACAGGCAATGGCAAAACATGAAACTTATTTTGTTAGCTTACACACAGTTTCTAAAAACAAAAAACAAACAAAAAACAGCAGAGTGGTATTTGTCTCTGGACTGTTACAACAGAGACATTATTAGATGCAAACTACAAGTGGCATGCAAGACATGTCCCCTCTTAGGCCTAGAAAATTAGAGAGTTAGAATCCATACTAGAATTTGTCAAAAGAATGCAACAAGATAAGAAATCCAAACAATATGAAAATTTTGCCCTTTTGTTTTCCGGAGATATTATGTAACTTAACACTTTGCCCCTAAAAATTCTGTATGGCTCAGAGGGGCCATGCCTGCATCACCTAGAAGAGATGGCCCACGTTCATAAAAGGCAAAGTGTTGACATGTTACAACTTTACAAAGACAAACATTCAAGTGCATCACAAGATACTGAGAAGAGAAGATTCTTAAACACACCGCCTTCACTGAACACTGGCAAGGATGAAGGTTGCTTAGGTACCTGTGTGGGAAGACTTTAGATTGCACTCACTGTTTGCGCGCTTATGCCCACTACCAGAGGTAGGCTGCGAGCCTTCAGTAGCACTTGGAGCTACTCCGCCACCAGTATCTGAGGCCGACTTCTTTTGCCGGGGAAAAGTGTTGTTCCCACCTTCTGCTGGGCTACTCCCTCCACCTGTACCATTAAAAAAAATACTTTGACTTTAGATGGATTAGTATTATATGGAGCACTAAACCTGTATGAGTCATTCAGTAGTTTTGGACAGACACTTTAGATGGATTAGTATTATGTGGAGCACTAAACTTGCACGAGTCATTCAGTAGTTTTGGATGGAATAACAGGCAAATTGCCAACAACTGTGGTAAGACAAACACTGAAAGAGGCTTAGAGTGTGATGACAGAGCCAAAATGCTATAATGTTTCACATTACTATAAAAATTTCAGAGAATGCAGACTATGAACATGGGGAGGAGGAAAACTACAAATTTAATAGTGGTAAAATTTGTCCAATGACACCACTACAAGCACACACTCAACACACAAAACTCATTTTCTACAAGAAAAAGAACAAATCCTGTACTCTTCTGCAACGACTTAAATCACTGTAATACAGAGGTATTATATAACTCATAATCAATCACTGGGATTTATTAACCAATGAATCTCTTCCACTGTCTTCCATCTAGTTATTTGTTACTCCGCATGCCTCACTGACCACCTCTCTTACTTAGGGGATTGAGGGAAATAGGTGCTGGTGGAGAGCTCTTTATCCAAGGAACTGGCAATCATCTCACCTTCCTTGGGTCAAACATAATTATATCCCACTTTCCCATGAATTTAACATTAATAATTTATCCCACTGTACATGCTATCGGTATCTCAATCCTTTATCTGACCTATCTCAGTACCTGGCCTCACTTAAGAAGTTGGAAGAAAATTATTTCATATGCTTTTCATGCCTACTGAATAGCTGCAAAATGATGGAATCCACAATTTCTGAATGTAGTAATAGGTAAGACACCCCATCATCAATTCTACTTAAGTAGCAAATCAAACTCTTACATCCCCCCCCTCCCATCATCATACACCCAAACTAAGCAAAAACTTGCCATAAGCTTCTTAGTGATCTATATAAGAATAAATCATAATTTACACCTGGAAAATGCTTGAGGTTGTTTAAAATCTCCACAATAAAATATTGTAGCTCATTACCAAAGCAATGAGCACAATACAAAAAATGCAAAATAATATCAGTTAAAATCAGGTGTATACAAATGTGCTGAGAGAACTCTGAGCATAAAGCAGGGGTACAAAAGTACATGTACTGAGAAAAAAACCTTATGAGTCTGGCCTAGGACCAGTATGCAGGAGTAGCAAAACTCTCAAAATCCCTCAAAAGTATCAGGCTGCAGAGAATTTGTACTTTGGAGATTAGAAGAAGGTGCAGGGGCCACTAAAATTATTATAAAGAGGGCTGTGGAGGGATTAATCAAGTGGTCTGGATATTTAGAGAGGATGGAGGAAAATATGATAACTTGGAGAATGTATAAACTTATAGTGGAGTGAAGCAGGGATGGAGGTCATCCTAGGAAAGATTGAAAGGAGAGGGTAAAAGAAAGTTTTGAATGTAAGGGACTCTGACATCCAACAAGCATGTGTGAGCATGTCAGACAGGTAAGATTTTTTTTTTATAGTGATATTTTATCAGTAGAAATTTAAAATTTCTCCTGATGTGGGTTGTGAGGGAAAAGTTCAACAGATAGGAGTATCGAGCAAGTACAGTGGACCCCCGGTTAACGAACTTTTTTCATTCCAGTAGTATGTTCAGGTGCCAGTACTGACCGAATTTTTTCCCATAAGGAATATTGTGAAGTAGATTAGTCCATTTCAGACCCCGAAACATACACGTACAAACGCACTTACATAAATACACTTACATAATTGGTTGCATTTGGAGGTGATCGTTAAGCGGGGGTCCACTGTATATGGTAACAATAGTTTGATTGCCGGCTACTTGTTAAGGTAGGGTAAGTCTAGCTCCCACTATCCCCCCCCCCCCGAAAGGTGACGTGTGGGGCTCCGGTCAAACAGTAATCACTCGACTCGCAGCTCCCAGCACTACTGTAAGTACACGCCTGCTCATATTTTAGTTGACTTATTGGTTGAAAGCTTCACTTTTGACCAATAATAAACTTAGTCCCTTCAGCCTTGATATCTCATAAATATTTTAATAATCACCACGTCTTTTAGGTATTGTACTTATCATGGAGAGTGATTTCTTAAGCAGTGGGTAACCTCTCTCTCTTTACAGCTTGGAATGACAGATTGGGTCACCTGCCAACCAACGAGAAGAATTGATGGAGACGGACTAAAGTCCTGAGACGTCCCATGTTGTATCTACTTACCTGTGTACATGTATGCCATCGCAGGACGTAACCCCTCATCATTGCAGTGGTAAAGAACCTGCTTTCCTGTCATCTGGACTGATTATTCACGGTTATACTCGGTGAAGAACGAGCCGTTGGATTGTCACCAACACCTGCGACCCCCCCCCACATCATCACCAACGGCTATGGTTTCTACAAGACGGTGTCAACCTCCACCAGACACCCCATTATCAAAATATATATATTAGCGTTGAGTTCAAATGTCATTTTTTCATTTCATTTTTCATTTTTCTTTCAAATAGGATATACCTTTCATGTTTTACTGTTTTATGTTTGCTTTAATAAATAATAAAGTGTTTATCTTTGTGAATTATTATTTCTTTTTCTATTCATTAATTTTCCTGAGGAGGAGCCAGCCTTGGTAATAGTACTGTCTGAAGTTGTTACAGGGCTGAGTAAGCCTTCACATGGGTCTTAGTCATTTGATAGCCCACTCAGTGGAAATTTTTCATCATTTGATTGAGGCCTTCCACTGGTTCATCAGTCCACCCCATAAAAAAAAAAAAATTCAACAAGTCGGCCATCTCCCACCAAGGCAGGGTGACCCAAAAAGAAAGAAAATCCCCAAAAAGAAAATACTTTCATCATCATTCAACACTTTCACCTTACTCATACATAATCACTGTATATCATTTACACAGGTGCCCAGATACAACAGTTTAGAAACATATATAAAGATATATATAACATATCCCTCCAAACTGCCAATATCCCAAACCCCTCCTTTAAAGTGCAGGCACTGTGCTTCCCATTTCCAGTACTCAAGTCTGGCTATATACAAATAACTGGTTTCCCTGAATCCCTTCACTAAATATTACCTTGCTTACACTCCAACAGCTCGACTGACTCACGAAATCATAATGACACGATTGCAAAACCATACCACGGGTAGGGTTTGAACCCGCGGTAAGAGAGTCTCTAAACTCCAGATCGTCGCGTTATGTAAAGTAAAAGGACACAAGTGCAACTAATGTGACATTTTATTGTGGCAACGTTTCGCTCTCCAGGAGCTTTATCAAGCTTTATCAATGGCTTGATAAAGTTCCTGGAGAACGAAACGTTGCCACAATAAAATGTCACATTAGTTGCACTTGTGTCCTTTTTACTTTACATATTGTCGGTAATTCTACCAACTTTATTACAATCGTCACATTAACCACTGGGCCAGCTAGCTTCAATAAGATTCGTCCAACTAGGTACATTTCTACACCATAGGAAGGTTGGCATAGGCACCACTGTGTCCACAAATGCAAGTTTTTACAGACGAATCTCCCGCTAGCATGGCCGTCATAGTCATGCTAGCGGGAGAGTTCATGCATGCTTGCACTTCCAGCAAGCTCATGCACGCTTGCTGGAAGTCCAAGTCGCTCGCCCACAAAACCTCCTTTACCCCGTCCCTCCAACCTTTTCGAGGACAACCCCTACCACACCTTCCTTCCCCTACAGATTTATACGCTCTCCGTGTCATTCTATTTTGATCGATTCTCTCTAAATGATCAAACCACCTCAACAACCCCTCTTCAGCCCTCTAATACTTTTCTTAACACCACACCTTCTCCTAATTTCCACACTCCGAATTTTCTGCATAATATTTACACACTGCCCTTAGACGGGACATCTCCACTGCCTCCAACCACCTCACTGCAGCATTTACAATCCAAGCTTCACACCCATATAAGAGTTGGTACCACTATACTTTCATACATTCCCTTCTTTGCCTCCAAAGATAATGTTTTTTGTCTCCACATAAACGTACCTCAACGCACGACTCACCTTTTTTCCTTCATCAATTCTTTGGTTAACTTCATCCTTCATAAACCCATCCGCTGACACGTCAACTCCCAAATACAGTGGACCTCCGCCTTACGATATTAATCCATTCCTGGGAGCTCATCGTAAGCCGAAATTATCGTTAGCTGAATTAATTTTCCCCACAAGAAATAACAGAAATCAAATTAATCAGTTCCTGACACCCCAAAGTATGAAAAAAAAAAATTTTACCACATGAAATATTAATTTTAATATACACAAACTGAAGACGACATGCACAATTACTACTCTACTAAGTATAGAATACATGACACTTACCTTTATTGAAGATCTGGCGATGATTGATGGGATGGGAGGAGGGGAGAGTGTGGAACTTATTGTTTAGAAGGGAATCCCCTTCCATTAGGACTTGAAGTAGCAAGTCCTTTTCCAAGGTTACTTTCCTTCTTCTTTTAATGCCACTAGGACCAGCTTGAGAGTCACTGGACCTCTGTCACACAACAAATCTGTCCATAGAGCTCTGTACCTCCCGTTCCTTTAAGACTTTCCTAAAATGGGCCATAACATTGTCATTGTACAGGTTGCCAACACGGCTTGCAGTAGCTGTGTCAGGGTGATTTTCATCCGTAAAGGTTTGCAGTTCAACCCACTTTGCACACATTTCCTTAACCCTTAAACGGTCCAAACAGATCGACGTTCAAATTCGTAGTGCTACAAAAGTAGATCTACTTTTTATTACATATTTTCAAATATAACAAAAAAAATGTAGGTAAAAGTTTTTTTGCACGTTTTCAAATGTAAAACAAAAAAGATCTATATTTTTTTTACATACTTTCAGATGTTGAAAAAACATATATATACGTTTGGACCATTTAACCCTTTGGGGGTTTCGGACCTACTAGTACGTCTTACGACCCAGGGTTTTTGACGTACTAGTACGCCTAAATTCTAGCACCTTCAAATCTAGTGAGAGAAAGCTGGTAGGCCTACATTGTAAGAATGGGTCTGTGGTCAGTGTGTGCAGTATAAAAAAAATCCTGCAGCACACAGTGTGTAATGAGAAAAAAAAAAAACTTTGACCATGTTTTTGGATTAAAACAGCGACTTTTCACTGTATTTTCATATGGTATTTATTGTTGTATTCTAGTTTTCTTGGTCTCATTTTATAGAATGGAAGACATGTTACAGAAATTGAGATGATTTTGACTGCTTTTACAATGAAAAGTACCTTGAAATTGAGCTCAAAGTAGCAGAAATGTTCGATTTTTACCGAAGTTCAAAAGTAAACAAATCATGCGAAGCGCCCAATACACATCAACTGGTGAGTCTAATATTCTTTCACAAGTGCGCTGATATTATTTATACCATTTCTACACTAATGCAGTAGTCTGCATAACAGTAAATCTTATTCTTTTTGTAAGAATAAAAATTCATAGTGGAAAGCCAAAGAAATATAAGAGGGGCCTGGGGATGTGACTAACGAACAGAGAACTTGTTATTTTAGTGCCAGGAATGTCTTTCTTGTTTATTCTGGACCCTATTCGGAAATTGGTATCTTTTGAAATTTGTGAAATTGGCAAAATTGCTAAATTCTGACCACTTTATTGGATAGTTGAAATCGGTAAATGGGTGTTTCTTGTACTCATTCGATAGAAAAAATGGAGTTCTAGCGAAATAGTTATGATTTTTGTTGACTAGTACACTGGAATTGGCCGAAAATAGGGCTCGAAGTGGGCAAAATCGCCGATGCGTAAACATCGTCGAGACCACTAACTTTGCAAGAGCATAATTCCGTAAGTTTTCCATCAAATTTCATACTTTTGGTGTCATTATGATTAGGAAAAGATTCTTTATCTTTTCATAAAATAATAATTTTTTTTTTTTATGAAATTTGGCCGACCCTGAGAACAAGTCTCTGAGAGGACCTGTCAACCCCCAAAGGGTTAAGGGTTAATCTCTCTTTTCAATTCCATACTAATTCGCCCTTTTTACCACAGGGATGGCACTAGAAGCTTTCTTGGGGTCCATGGTGACTTATTTTGCAGTTACAAGCACTAAAAACACTGGGATAATGTGAAATGTACCGAATGTATGCGTAGATGCGACCACACTGGCTGGCTTGTAAACACTGGTGCTGAGACCACACGTGAAATGCGTCCCGGACGAATCACGTAAGGTGAGTTTTTTATCGTGAGGTGAGGCAAAATTTTTGCATTCAAATGCTTCATATGGAGGATTTAACGTAATGCGATGCGTTCATAAGGCAGGGGTCCACTGTATCTGAAAACATTCACTTCTTCCATACTCCCTCTCTCCAATGTGATATCCAATTTTTCTTTATCTAAATCATTTGATACCCTCATCACCTTACTTTTATCTATGTTCACTTTCAACTTTCTACCTTTACACACCCTCCCAAACTCATCCACTAACCTTAGCAACTATTTCTTTAGAATCTCCCATAAGCACAGTATCATCAGCAAAAAGTAACTGTGTCAACTCCCATTTTGTATTTGATTCCCCATAATTTAATCCCACCCCTCTACCCAACGCCCTAGCATTTACTTCTTTTACAACCCCATCTATAAATATATTAAACAATCATGGTGACATTACACATCCCTGTCTAAGACCTACTTTTACCAGGAAGTAATCTCCCTCTCTCCTACACACCCTAACTGAGCCTCACTATTCTCATAAAAACTCTTTACAGCATTTAGTAACTCACTACCTATTCCATATACCTGCAACATCTGCCACATTGCTTCCCTATCCACTCTACCATATGCCTTTTCTAAATCCATAAGTGCAATGAAAACTTCCCTACCTTTATCTAAATACTGTTCACCTATATATGCTTCAATGTAAACACTTGATCTACACATCCCCTACCCATTCTAAAGCCTCCTTGCTCATCTGCAATCCTTCTCTCTGTCTTACCTCTAATTCCTTCAATAATAACCCTACCTTACACTTTTCCTGGTATGCTCAGTAAACTTATTCCCCTATAATTTTTACAATATCTTTTGTCCCCTTTCCCTTTATATAAAGGGACTATACAAGCTCTCTGCCAATCCCTAGGTACTTTCCCCTCTTTCATACATTTATTGACTCAAGAAATCGTAATGACACGATTGCAAACAAACCATACCCCCGGCCGGGATTGAACCCGCGGTCATAGTCTCAAAACTCCAGCCCGTCGCGTTAGCCACTAGACCAGCTAGCCACAATAAGATTCATCCAACTAGGTATATTTCTACACCATAGGAAGGTTAGCACAGGCACCACTGTGACCACAAATGCAAGTTTTTACAGACGAATCTCCAGCTAGCGTGGCCGTGACGAACTCTAGCTCAAGTCCCTTCACTGCCGTCAACATGACTCAAGAAATCGTAATGACTTGAGCTAGAGTTCGTCACGGCCACGCTAGCTGGAGATTCGTCTGTAAAAACTTGCATTTGTGGTCACAGTGGTGCCTGCGCTAACCTTCCTATGGTGTAGAAATATACCTAGTTGGATGAATCTTATTGTGGCTAGCTGGTCTAGTGGCTAACGCGACGGGCTGGAGTTTTGAGACTCTATGACCGCGGGTTCAATCCCGACCGGGGGTATGGTTTGATACATTAATTAAACAAAAATACGAACCACTCCCACACTATATCCCCCCCTGCTTTTAACATTTCTGTCATGATCCCGCCAGTTCCAGTTGCTTTACTCCCTGTCATTCTATGTACGCCTCACGCACTTCCCCCACACTCACATCCTGCTCTTCTTCACTCCTAAAAGATGTTATACCTCCCTGCCCAGTGCATGAAATTACCGCCTCCCTTACTTCATCGACATTTAAAAGTTCCTCAAAATATTCCCGCCATCTACCCAATACCTCCAGCTCCCCATCTACTAACTCCCCTACTCTGTTTTTAACTGACAAATCCATTCGTTCCCTAGGCTTTCTTAACTTGTTTATCTCACTCCAAAATTTTTCATTTTCTGCAAAATTTCTTGACAGTGCCTCTCCCACTCTATCATCTGCTCTCCTTTTGCACTCTCTTCACCTTTCTTTTACTTTCCATATACTCTGCTCTTCTTATAACACTTCTGCTTTGTAAAAACCTCTCATAAGCTACCTTTATAACTTTTATCACACCCTTTACTTCATTTCACCAATCACTCCTGTTTCCTCCTGCACCCACCCTCCTATAACTACAAACTTCTGCCCCACATTCTAATACACCATTTTAAAAACTATTCCACACCTCTTCACCACCCCCCCCCCCCCCGCTACTCATATTTGCACTAGCCCACCTTTCTGCCAATAGATGCTTATATCTCACTGTAACTTCCTCCTCCCTTAGTTTATACACTTCACCTCTCTCTTACTTGTTGTTGCCATTTTCCTTTTGTCCCATCTTTCTCTTACTCTAACTGTAGCTACAGCTAAATAATGATCTGATATATCAGTTGCCCCTCTATAAACATGTACATCCAGAAGCCTACCCATCAACCTTTTATCCACCAATACATAATCTAACAAACTACTTTATTACGTGCTATATCATACCTTGTATACTTATTTATCCTCTTTTTCATAAAATATGTATTACTTATTACCAAACCTCTTTCTACACCTAGCTCAATTAAAGGCTCCCCATTTCATTTACCCCTGGCACCCCAAATTTACCTACTACTCCCTCCACAACATTTTTACCCACTTTAGCATTGAAATCCCCAACTCCAAGTACTCTCACACTTGGTTTAAAACTCCCCACACACTCACTCAACATTTCCCAAAATCTCTCTCCTCTACACTTCTCTCTTCTCCAGGTGCATAAATGCTTATTATAACCCACTTTTCACATCCAACCCTTATTTTACTCTACATAATCCTTGAATTTATACATTTATATTCCCTCTTTTCCTGCCATAACTTATCCTTCAACATTATTGCTACTCCTTCTTTAGCTCTAACTCTATTTGAAACCCCTGACCTAATCCCATTTATTTCTCCACACTGAAACTCTCCCACCCCCTTCAGCTTTGTTTCACTTAAAGCCAGGACATCCAAATCATAAAATTTAAGCTTCTCCAAACATGAAGTTATCAGAAATACTGCCAGGACATGTGAAGAAGTCTTCAAGATGAAACTCGACCAGTATCTCCACCAAGTGCCAGATCAACCAGGGTGTGATGGATATATGGGCCAGCAGACTGCAGCCTGACTAACCAGGGAAGTGGGAGTAGGAAAACTCTCAAAACCAGTCACAGGTATATCTTTCTTTCTTTCTTTCAACACACAGGCCATATCCCACCAAAGTGGGGTGGCCCAAAAGGAAAAACGAAAGTTTCTCCTTTTACATTTAGTAATAGATACAGGAGAAGGGGTTACTAGCCCCTTGCTCCCTCACAGGTATATACCATAATAAAATAAAGGAGCACTGTTGATGCCATAAATATGAATATTTTTAATGAGGCACTGAAATCTCTTACAATACACTATTAATTACCTTGAGTTGGGGTAACAGGTTGCTTCTTGGCCACGATGACAGGATTCTCATACTGTGTCTTTCTGTTCACATGGTCAATATAATATGTGCCATACTGGGGGTCATCTATTCGTTCCCAACCAAATGGTAGCTCATCCTCTCCACATTCCTCAGCATTTTGCTTCTGAACACGTGCTAGCCTTGGATCTAGCCATGAAGATGTGCCATTCATGTGACTGAAAAACAAAAAAATAAAGATGAACAAAATCAATATACCAGTAATCTTGCCAATAATCTCAATTTTCAAGAGAATCTTTTTACTTTTACCGAAAGTTAACTTCGGAGTTACACCTGTTAATAGTTCAAGGGATTATAACCCCCCTGCAGGCATCACTGGAAAAGAAATACAGCATTGAATTAACTATAAAGAGACAGTAGACATGCACGAAAATAATAAATAATGAATATAAGTAGATTTTTCTATAATTTATCTATCACCTCACCTTCCATGAATGCAAAATAGTGGTACTCCCTGGATGGTTCTTGTGTACAAACCTACTATATTTAGGAGAGTTGGAATGGACAGTGAGGCTCAGGTTAGAATACATAGGAAAGAAGGAGATTATTTCCAGTAAAAGTAGGCCTTAGACAAGGATGCGTGATGTCACCGTGGTTGTTCAATATATTTATAGATGGGGTTGTAAGAGAAGTGAATGCGAGGGTCTTTGCAAGAGGTGTGGAGTTACAAGATAAAGAATCAAACACAAAGTGGGATGTGTCACAGTTACTTTTTGCTGATGACACTGTTCTTGGGAGATTCTGAAGAGAAGTTGTAGAGGTTGGTGGATGAATTTGGTAGGGTATTGTAAAAGAAGAAAATTAAGTGAATATAGGAAAGAGTATGGTTATGAGGATAAAAAGATTAGGTGACGAAAGATTGGATATCAGATTGGAGGAAGAAAGTATGGAGGAAGAGGTGAATGTATTCAGATATTTGGGAGTGGACGTGTCAGCAGATGGGTCTATGAAAGATGAGGTGAATCATAGAATTGATGAGGGAAAAAGGGTGTGTGGTGCACTTAGGAGTCTGTGGAGACAAAGAACTTTGTCCTTGGAAGCAAAGAGGGGAATGTATGACAGTATAGTTTTACCAACACTCTTATATGGGTGTGAAGCATGGGTGATAAATGTTGCAGCGAGGAGAAGGCTGGAGGCAATGGAGATGTCATGTCTGAGGCCAATGCGTGGTGTAAATATAATGCAGAGAATTCGTAGTTTGGAAGTTAGGAGGAGGTACGGGATTGCCAAAACTGTTGTCCAGAGGGCTGAGGAAGGGTTGTTGAGGTGGTTCGGACATGTAGAGAGAATGGAACGAAACAGAATGACTTCAAGAGTGTATAAATCTGTAGTGGAGGGAAGGCGGGGTAGGGGGTCGGCCTAGGAAAGGTTGGAGGGAGGGGGTAAAGGAGGTTTTGTGTGTGAGAGGTTTGGACTTCCAGCAAGCATGCGTGAACGTATTTGATAGGAGTGAGTGGAGACAAATGGTTTTAAATACATGACGTGCTGTTGGCATGTGAGCAAAGTAACATTTATGAAGGGATTCAGAGAAACCGGCAAGCTGGACTTAAGTCCTGGAGATGGGAAGTACAGTGTCTGCACTCTGAAGGAGGGGAGTTAATGTTGCAGTTTTATAAACTGTAGTGTAAAGCACCCCTCTGGCAAGACAGTGATTGAGTGAATGATGATGAAAGTTTTTCTCTTTTGGGCCACTCTGCCTTGGTGGGAATCGACCGATGTGTTAGTAAAATAAAAATAAAGCTAAGAGATGTTAGATTGGAGTGGGTAAACACAGGTTGTTTATTTTTTTATTTGTCATGCTATTAGGGTGTGAACAAGTAAACATTTATAAAGGAATTCAGGTCAACTGGTTATTTGGAGGTAGGAGGCACAGTGCCTGCACTCACGAGGATGAGTGAGAATGTTGCTGTTCAAAGTGCCATTTGAGATGTGATGTCCACTCACTTTCGGCAAGACAGCTAGTGAACAAAAAATGTATGGAAGGGTTGCTGGAACTTGTAAAAATTTATAATAGAAACAGTCTACATAGAAAAATGACATAGAACTGATGAGAAAGAATTCACACCAGACAGAAAAAATGCATAAGGAACAAAACAACTATTCACAAAATTGAGAAAATCCTAAGTTTTTCTTCACATATACAAAATTCAAGCAAAAAAAAAAAAAACACACACACACACACACACACACACACACACACCAATAACCGAGTCAATACTCACAAGAGATTCACATACAGATACTGAAAAAGAAATTAACAAATTCTGAAAGAACACTACAATTCAAGATTCAGCAATCCACTCGATGACAAGAAACTTGAGGACCCTGATACTGTACTTTCTTCATTACCTCTTCCCAACCAACAAATCATACATCTGAAATCCAGTAAGCACAAAACCTCTAGAATTTGAAGAAGGAATAGATAGTAAGCCCACACAAGCAGCACCTGAGCTGTATTCTGCATTCTCTAGAGAAAGAGCTTACATCTAGGAGAAATCCCACAGGCCCTAAAATGTGTAGACATAGTTCTCTTCACAAATGAGACAGAATAGAATTAGCATCACTCATAAAAATCTTGAAAAGGGTGAGATACCAATTACTGAGTTTATGGAAAAGCATGACCCAGGGAACAAGAAGCAATCAGGTTCAATCCAAGGAAGTGAACAGTAGCTCTAATTTCTTGAATCAACAGCCCTTTTATCAGTATCAAGGCAATCCATTAGTTACACTCATGGAGGAGTGAAATGTCAGTTTATATAATTGATATAATGAAAGGATTCTCCTAAACTATGTGTTTATTGAAATTTGGATGAGCATTAGGTATATACCTTGGATGAATTTCAAGTTTTTCTACTCCTGAAGCGCAGCTTTGATGCACTGAACATGTTTTCAGAGGAGTGACTGATGTGTGATCATTACTTAGAAGTAGCTAGTGGAAGTAATATGTAAGTGAACAATTACTGGAAGAAAGAGTAGTTAGTTTGAGAATAAACGATGATGTGTGGAAGGAGCTTGCAGTTATGTAGGTTTAAAATACACAGTTTAAAGTGTGCAGATGAGAACCTGCATGTGATTACAAGAAGAAAAAGAAAATAATGGTGGGATGAGGTTACAATAATAATAAACATAAAAAAAGATGGCATAGGAAAGATTTTTATGATGTATACATAATGCAAAGAAGAACTGCACAATTTTTTTTAAGAGTTACAAGGAGTGAAACAGTACAGTATATGAAACAATGAGTTAGGCAGTGCACCAAATTTTACTAAAAAATAATAGTTTTGAATGATATATCTCTCTTGATCCAAGGAAGGGGCACTATTTTTTTTCCTTGGATGGAACCTGATTACCTCCTATTCCCCCAGGTGATGTATAACACGTAAAAGCTAAGCACTCCCCCACGAATAAAATCAATCTAAGATGTAACTAGGGCTAAAAAAAATAATGTCAGTAAGAATGAGTGTGATAAAAAAAATTTTTTTTATTATCATCATCACACTGGCCGATTCCCACCAAGGCAGGGTGGCCCGAAAAAGAAAAACTTTCACCATCATTCACTCCATCACTGTCTTGCCAGAAGGGTGCTTTACACTACAGTTTTTAAATTGCAACATTAACACCCCTCCTTCAGAGTGCAGGCACTGTACTTCCCATCTCCAGGACTCAAGTCCGGCCTGCCGGTTTCCCTGAACCCCTTCATAAATGTTACTTTGCTCACACTCCAACAGCACGTCAAGTATTAAAAACCATTCGTCTCCATTCACTCCTATCAAAACACGCTCACGCATGCCTGCTGGAAGTCCAAGCCCCTCGCACACAAAACCTCCTTTACCCCCTCCCTCCAACCTTTCCCAGGCCAACCCCTACCCCGCCTTCCTTCCACTACAGACTGATACACTCTTGAAGTCATTCTGTTTCGGTCCATTCTCTCTACATGTCCGAACCACCTCAACAACCCTTCCTCAGCCCTCTGGACAAAAGTTTTGGTAATCCCGCACCTCCTCCTAACTTCCAAACTACGAATTCTCTGCATTATATTCACACCACACATTGCCCTCAGACATGACATCTCCACTGCCTCCAGCCTTCTCCTCGCTGCAACATTCATCACCCATGCTTCACACCCATATAAGAGTGTTGGTAAAACTATACTCTCATACATTCCCCTCTTTGCCTCCAAGGACAAAGTTCTTTGTCTCCACAGACTCCTAAGTGCACCACTCACCCTTTTCCCCCTCATCAATTCTATGATTCACCTCATCCTTCATAGACCCATCCGCTGACACGTCCACTCCCAAATATCTGAATACATTCACCTCCTCCATACACTCTCCCTCCAATCTGATATCCAATCTTTCATCACCTAATATTTTTGTTATCCTCATAACCTACTCTTTCCTGTATTCACTTTTAATTTTCTTCTTTTGCACACCCTACCAAATTCATCCACCAATCTCTGCAACTTCTCTTCAGAATCTCCAAGAGCACAGTGTCATCAGCAAAGAGCAACTGTGACAACTCCCACTTTATGATGTGATTCTTTATCTTTTAACTCCACGCCTCTTGTCAAGACCCTCGCATTTACTTCTCTTACAACCCCATCTATAAATATATTAAACAACCACGGTGACATCACACATCCTTGTCTAAGGCCTACTTTTACTGGGAAATAATTTCCCTCTTTCCTATGTACTCTAACTTGAGCCTCACTATCCTCGTAAAAACTCTTCACTGCTTTCAGTAACCTACCTCCTACACCATACACCTGCAACATCTGCCACATTGCCCCCCTATCCAGCCTGTCATATGCCTTTTCCAAATCCATAAATGCTACAAAGACCTCTTTAGCCTTATCTAAATACTGTTCACTTATATGTTTCACTGTAAACACCTGGTCCACACACCCCCTACCTTTCCTAAAGCCTCCTTGTTCATCTGCTATCCTATTCTCAGTCTTACTTTTAATTCTTTCAATAATAACTCTACAATACACTTTACCAGGTATACTCAACAGACTTATCCCCCTATAATTTTTGCACTCTTTTGTCCCCTTTGCCTTTATACAAAGGAACTATGCATGCTCTCTGCCAATCCCTAGGTACCTTACCCTCTTCCATACATTTATTAAATAATTGCACCAACCACTCCAAACTATATCCCCACCTGCTTTTAACATTTCTACTTTATCCCATCAATCCCGGCTGCCTTACCCCCTTTCATTTTACCTACTGCCTCACGAACTTCCCCCACACTCACAACTGGCTCTTCCTCACTCCTACAAGATGTTTATTCCTCCTTGCCCTATACATGAAATCAGCTTCCCTATCTCATCAACATTTAACAATTCCTCAAAATATCCCTCCATCTTCCCAATACCTCTAACTCTCCATTTAATAACTCTCCTCTCCTATTTTTAACTGATAAATCCATTTGTTCTCTAGGCTTCCTTAACTTGTTAATCTCACTCCAAAACTTTTTCTTATTTTCAACAAAATTTGTTGATAACATCTCACCCACTCTCTCATTTGCTCTCTTTTTACATTGCTTCACCACTCTCTTAACCTCTCTTTTTCTGCATATACTCTTCCCTCCTTGCATCACTTCTACTTTGTAAAAACTTCTCATATGCTAACTTTTTCTCCCTTACTACTCTCTTTACATCATCATTCCACCAATCGCTCCTCTTCCCTCCCGCACCCACTTTCCTGTAACCACAAACTTCTGCTGAACACTCTAACACTACATTTTTAAACCTACCCCATACCTCTTCGACCCCATTGCCTATGCTCTCATTAGCCCATCTATCCTCCAATAGCTGTTTATATCTTTCCCTAACTGCCTCCTCTTTTAGTTTATAAACCTTCACCTCTCTCTTCCCTGATGCTTCTATTCTACCTTTTACTCTCAGTGTAGCTACAACTAGAAAGTGATCTGATATATCTGTGGCCCCTCTATAAACATGTACATCCTGAAGTCTACTCAACAGTCTTTTATCTACCAATACATAATCCAACAAACTACTGTCATTTCGCCCTACATCATATCTTGTATACTTATTTATCCTCTTTTTCTTAAAATATGTATTACCTATAACTAAACCCCTTTCTATACAAAGTTCAATCAAAGGGCTCCCATTATCATTTACACCTGGCACCCCAAACTTACCAACCACACCCTCTCTAAAAGTTTCTCCTACTTTAGCATTCAGGTCCCCTACCACAATTACTCTCTCACTTGGTTCAAAGGCTCCTATACATTCACTTAACATCTCCCAAAATCTCTCTCTCTCCTCTGCATTCCTCTCTTCTCCAGGTGCATACACGCTTATTATGACCCACTTCTCGCATCCAACCTTTACTTTAATCCACATAATTCTTGCGTTTACACATTCATATTCTCTTTTCTCCTTCCATAACTGATCATTCAACATTACTGCTACCCCTTCCTTTGCTCTAACTCTCTCAGATACTCCAGATTTAATCCCATTTATTTCCCCCCACCGAAACTCCCCTACCCCCTTCAGTGAATAATTTTATAAGGACAATTTTACATTTGGGGATTTTCTTTCTTTTTGGGTCACACTGCCTCAGTGGGAGATGGCCGACTTGTTAAAAAAAAAAAAAAAATTTTACATTTATTGAAATCTTGTATAAGGGTGCACACTGAAGCATACAAGTGAATAAGTGAGTAAGGAAGCTTTGTTGCATTTATTAATTTAGAAAAGGCATGATAGGGTGAATAGGAGAGCAATGTGGCAGATGTTGCAAGTGTATGGAATAGGTGGTATGTTACTTAAAGCAGTTAAGAGCTTTTACGAGGATAGTGAGGCTCAGGTTAGCATGTGTAGGAGAGAGGGAAAATTATTTTCCAGTAAAAGTAGGCCTTACACAGGGATGCATGTCACTACAATTGTTTAACATATAGATGGGATTGAAAAAGAAGCGAGTGCTAGGGTACTGGGGAGAGCTGTGGGATTAAAAGATAAAAAATCCAACACAAAGTGGGAGTTGTCGCAGTTGTCTTTTGCCAATGACATGGTGCTCTTGGGAGATTCTGAAGAGAAAGCTGCAAAGACTAGTGGATGAATTTCAGAGGGTATGTAAAACAAAAAAAATTAAAAGTGAACATAGGAAAGAGTAAGAAAAAATTTAGGAAGTGAAAGACTGGATAACAGATTGGAAGGAGGGAGTACACAAAAAAGAGTCTTCAATAAAGGTAAAAGTGATGTTAAATGCTCATTTATCCATTTCATTACTCATTTATTTTTATTTCTCATTGTTTTCTGCATGTAAAACTATAGTTATTCTCTATAAAATGTATATTTTGTTAATATTTATGGGTGTCTGGAACGGATTAATTGGATTTACATTATTTCTAACGGGAAATATTGCTTCAGTTTTCATACAATTTGGTTTTCGTCCGACTTTCTGGAATGAATTAATCACGAAAACCGAGGTTTTGCTGTATGTAGGTTCATATGAACACAAATTAAATTGTAATAAAAAACTGTCAATGGATAAACAGATGCCGAGGGGTTCAGACTGCGGTTCGAAACTGAGAGTCCGACACTCTACGTTAGACTTGCCGATTAATCTGATGGTGAGGTCGAACTGTCAGTTTATGACCGTGGTTAAGCCCTCTTGTCCACCCTCTGTTGTTCATAGATTTAGATTAATACTGACAGTGTACAAGTTAAATAATGTAACAACTCAAACCCAGGGTTTTTTACTGTACCTAATACAGGGGACCCCGCATAACTGATCACCTCCGATGCTGACCATTATGTAAGCGTATTTATGTAAGTGCGTTTGTAAGTGTATGTTTGGGGATCTGAAATGGACTAATCTATTTCACAATATTCCTTGTGGGAACAAATTCGGTCAGTACTGGCACCTGAACATACTTCTGGAGTGAAAAAATATCGTTAACCGGGGGTCCACTGTATATGACACTATACAGTTGTCAATGTTTTGGTCAATAGTTACATGGTGCAAATTTATATGGCTATAATATCTGCCTTAAGGTCAACACCCACACAGAAAATACTAATACTCACTCAATATAATATGGCTCTCCATTTTCAGTGTAAGCCTTCTCCCAGTTAAATGGTAGAGGACCCAGCTCTCCTGATGTGGGAGAATCTGGGGACTGCAGCTGTACCCCACCCTCCTTCCCCACCATATTCTGGGGCATGCCGGGTGGGCTGTAGAGTGTCCCTGATGAATATGGATGGCTAGGAGGTTCGGGAGGAATCTCTGTACTGGTGGTATTGGCAGCCATTGCTTCTACATTGGAGCGGTTACGTCGACGTTTTCCCTCTGAGCTGGGATGAGCACCAGGTAAGAGAGCAGTGCCTGCTGACCCTCGGGCCAAATGATCGGGTGGTAATGATGGAGGTTTCGGAGTACCGTAGTGGTTACCTAGGTATTAAAACCATATTAGCAAGAACATTTCAGCTATATTTAAGGAAAATTTTTAAATAATATTTTTCAAAAGATATAACACTTGTATTATTGCAATAAAATATGCAGTTTCAAAGTTATTTCATACAAAAATGCTGATGAAAAGTAAATGCACGAGGAAAGGAAGCTTTGTTTAGTAATACAAACTCTTGTTAGACGAATCAAACATGCAAAACATGCAGAAAGCTAACACGTGCACTAAACTTATTAAAATGTAACAAAATCATTTAGATAAAAATACCTGCTCCATCCCCAATAACAGATTGCAGTGAAGAACCAAAGTCACTTGGAAGTGAGTTGGAGCGGTAATTTCCACCAGTTTCTAATGCAGAATGGTTACCAGTCTTACTACAATTTTCAAATTTTGAGTTTAAGAACCTTTCAACATAACTCCTTTCATTTTCTGTATTGTCACTAAACTCAATCATAGGGGTTCGCTGGCGTCCAACATTCTTGTTAAAATTATTTTCTCTCTTAAACATATGCATGTCTTTCATTTTAGATCTGCGAGGGGCCTTCACAGGCATGCCTCTATAAAAAGCTCGCTTTTCTCTCTCTTGAGGATTTGTAACCAAACTAAATCGACATGGGGAATTTCTGCTAATAAATAAAGTTCTTTCTGGTGGAGGGAGTGGTCTTTGTTTTAATTCCTTTTCCTCTCCCTGATCATTATTTGGTCCCTCACAAATCTCTGTTGACTCACTGACTGAACTTAGGCTACTGACTTCTGAACTATCTTCAGATAATATTGTAGGATAAATGCACTTTTCACTGTTTGAAACACTGCTGCCACTTTGACAAAACCTACATACTTCACTTGACACAGTTTCAGCTTCTGACATATTTCTTTTAGCATCAATACAGTCATCTACAAGATGTAGACATGATTTATCATCATTTAGTATTTTTTGTTTTCTGGAGGCCCGATAACAAGACTTTTCTATACAAAAATTTAAATCACTTATCAATTCTGAACCATCAGGGCTCTGCCTTGCACCTAATGATCTACTGTCTGATGGATATGCTTTTATTGTATTTTTAAAGCCTTTGGGCTTATGAGGTAATAGAGGATGCAGTGTGTTTATTGAAGAATGAAATGTATGTTGTCTAAGAGGTCCTTTATTGATACTTCCCTGAATGTGATTCATAGACAGCTTCTCATGTACATTCACTAAACTTTTCACACTCAATGTGTTCCTATTGAGCCCATCATTCAGACTCTGCTTTATAGTTTTTGTACGTACTTTAGGAACACTTTCATGAGCATTGCTGAAGCTTAATGGGAGTTTACTCATATCTTTTAGGTGATCAGTATTATTTCCTGGAGTAGGAGTAACTGAAGCACTTTTATGTAAATGATCTACCTGTTCACTATTTATTTCTTCAGAATTACTTTGTCTCAAGGCTGCAGTATCTTCTACTTTTTGAATTTCAGTAATGTTCTTATCTCTACTATGTACAAATATCTCATTTAATCTTTTCTCATCTTTTAAGGACTTTTTCTTAAATTCCAGAATGTCAGTTTCCAAATCTGTGTTTGTCGATTTGGGTTGACAGTTTGTATCTTTTTTCAGTTCAGGAAAGGTTCTATTCAAACAGTTTCTAGTTGTTGTCCCTTCACATGCCTCCTCTTTAATGGACTGTGGTTTATTTAAACCAACGTTAGTCAACACACTTTTACTGTTCATAATCTGTGAAATTTTAGTATCTCCAGTTAAACCTGGCCCATGTGGTGAATCCTGGTGGCTAGAATTTTCTTTAAAGTTCTTTTGCGTCATATTTAACAGTGCATTGAGAAAATAATCTGGTTTGCTGGCATCTTTACAATAGTTATTTTCTTTATCATTCAAATGTGTACCAAATGTAGTATCCAGTTTGCTAGTATTTTCTACATTGTACTTTTGTCTATTTTTCACAATTGTACCAAATAGAGTATCCTCATTACTTGCATCTTTATGGCTGTCTTGTCCATTACTTGATTTATGTTCTTTAGTTGGTGCATCTTCATTATAGCTTCTCTGTTTTTCTTCCAAAAGGCAATTAAAAGATGTGTCCTGTTTTAAAACATATTTTTTATGGTTCTCTCGTCTCTCATTTAGAACAGTGGCAAGTGATGTGACCCATTTCTGTGAAGTTTGATCCAGGTTTACTGTTCTGGTATCAATAAAACCTTCACCAGTTAAAATATCTTTCTCCTTCAAAGGTGGATGTTCAATATTCGAGTCTGGGCATGTTGATGGGACACGTCCACATGTCTCTTCCTCTGTACTTTTAGCTATATTCCCTTTATTTAATAAAGTACCAGTTGCCTCTTTCCTTGAAATTTGGTCACTATTAATAACTAAAACAGGTGGTATTTCTGTTTTACTCCCCCAAACTTTCTTAGTATGACTATTTTTCATAAATTTTTTTAGTGATGAACTCCGTGGAGGAATCTTTGGTTTTTCCTTTAGTCTAAATTTCACTCCTGAAAACCTGTCAACAGAGATAGTATAATTTGAATGCTGGCTCTTTGTCTGGTTTTGCTGTGAATGGTTCACTTGACAGACATCATCAAAACATTTATCAAAGCTTGAGTCGTTTGCCAAGTCATCCAGGTGAATGCTGGACAAATCACTATCAGTTTGTGACATTACATCACCCACATCATTAGTGAACATACCAGATGAAGCACATACTGGTATTACTTTTGGCTGATATAGAGTAGAATGAAAGCCCTCATGAGAATCATTAAGTTTACATTCTGCATTTAAACCTTTCAAAATGTCTATATGTTGACTTGATGTTGAAGGAGAAGTCAACTGTATGGTTCTCTGTATATTACTCTGCACTAAGTCTTTTCTTGTGCCAAAATCATACACAACAGGATATCTACTGACTTGCACTTCAGGAGGAGGTGAGAATACAGGATGCATTGTACTACTTGGGACACCGTCTATTGTACTATCTAAGCACTCTTGGGATGCCGCCTCCATGGGTGGATCTACTAATTCTTCATTGGAAAATAAAGAAAGGTTATCAATTAAGTCAAACTTATTGTCAATAGGACAAAGGTTTTCTACTGATGAGTGCCTATTTTTTAATGGTTTTGGAAAGATGTTTGTACCACTCGCTGGTGAAGACAGATCTATGTTTTGTAAATTAAATTTGCTTGAGGCATGGTCTTTTGTACATTTAAAAAACTGATTGGGCGTGACCTCAGCATCCGGATCTACCGATTCCTCATTAGTAAATAAAGACAAATTATCATCAGGTTTATTTACATTACCAGAAGCATCATGATTTTCTAATGAAGATATATTGTGTCTATAAAGAGGATTATTTTGAGAGATGCCATCAGGATTACCTCTATACACACTTGGAATTATACTTAAGCCATCTGTTGTTTCTTCGCCAGAGAAAACAGATGAACTATCACTATCTTCTGAATTCTTGTTAGAAACTAGGGATTGATTATCACTGCCCAAAAGAGTATCACTTTCACCACTACTATCACCAAAGAATGTGTCTGCATCTGAATCTTCAGCATATAGTTCAACATCAGACAAACTTCCTCTATGTGGTTTTATACGAGGTTGTGTCAGGAGGGTTTGTGCTACAAGACTGCTTGCAGGTGAAGCTTTATATTTAGCATCTACAGCAAAAGAAATCAGACCCTTGTTTTTTAAAGGAGAATTTCTACTATGGATAGATGATCTCTGAATAGATCTACCTGCATGATGGCTCACTTTTCCAGATGTTTCTTGTGAAGCAGACATAAAAGCCTGTCCGTGCACCTCGTGCAAGGCTTTACGGTGTCGTTGACTTCCACGTCGTAAAAAATACTCCTTAATTTCAGTTGCACTGTAAATTCGGTTAAGATCCCGTAGTGAGGGACGCTGAACTCTTTTTAACAGACGACGGGGAAAAGTCTTAATCCTGTCAGAGGTGTGTTTTCCAAATCGCTGCTGCTTCATCGGTAAAGAAAAGGACCGTGAAAAGTTATTATCAAATGAGATTGGAGGATCTATTCCTGGTTCACTTTGTGGCTCACTAGGTGGAGTGTCATCACTAGGCAACCATGACCTCTTATAGTGGATGGTGTTAACTTCGGTAGACGACATGCTGGAGGAGACATTTGGAACAGATGGTATATGATGCTGGAGCCTATGTCTTGTTATGCATTCCACTGTCAGTCTCTGCTGCAAAGCTGAGGAGATGGGCGACAGCACAGGTGTTCCATATGCATGACCTGCAATCACAGTACTATACCCTTCACCTAAAGAAATTCTCCAACTGTATTCCTGAATTTGACATACAAGCAATAACAGACCACACCTCATGCAAACTTAGCTACAAATGCAAATATACAATACAGTACCTTATTCAAATGTATATACTAGTTTTGTCTTTGTACTAACTGACTGGATGTGCTACATTACCTAAAGTATCATACACACATCATTTTGTACCTTCATATTGTTGGCTGCGTTGTGAGGTACGGTAAACATTGTACCTGTACAGTAGCTCTTTATAGGATGGTCTGTGCATGCTCTCCATCACAACATATACTGATTGTTCACCATTATCATGCTATCAGCCCATGTTGTATCTTATCTTTCATAAAAGTCTTTATCTCCTTGTGTTAAATAATTAACAATTTATATGTAGTACTTGCCAAGATAAACAGTGAAGTAAACAGTACAATGATTGCAAACAAACAAACACACACACACCTTTGACATACCTTACCTTTGAAGAGTTTTGAGAGTTTAACTACTCTCGGAACCCGGCCATGGGCTAGGCTCGTCCAGTGCTTGCCTGATCAACCAGGCTGTGATGGATATGTGAGGCAGCAGGCTTCCAGCAGCAAAAGCCTGGTTGACCAGGCAAGCACCAGACGAGCCTAGCCCGAGAGTAATGAAACTCTCAAAACTCTTTAAAGGTATATCAAAGGTATAAAGGGCCATAGGGGTGTTGAGTCCTGGAAGTATTTATCATGTATCCTTCAGGTATACAGTTAATGTATACAAGCTTTTTTTAATTCTAGTAATATAAGTGTGTCCCTTAACCTCACTTTTTTTCCATTCATAGTTAAATTATTTACAAATCTCTGACACACTTAAAATATGCAATAAATGATTAACAGGTTTAGTTATGTAAAAGCTGCTTCACTGAAATAATTTTCTAATGGTTAAGAGTTTAAATTTGAGGAAAAATTATTAGTTACACAATGAGTCAAGTTCACATGCATAATTAGTCTACAACAGAATGTGTCATGAGACTAAATAAAAACAAACGAGAGTGCATAAGAGCATCATGCAGTGAAGGCAAGCAGTGAAGTGCAGCTGTGTGCTTGTGCAAGAATGAAATAAATGGAGACTCTAATCCTCCATGTATCTCACCTTCAAAGACTCCAGATTCTAGGAGGTTGCCAGATCTCTGGAGAGCACTGAATTCTTCCTTTGAAAGAAAAGTGTAATCTACTCCGTTGACTTCTCCCTGACGTGGTGTCCTGGTCGTCACGGGAACAGTGCGCAGGTACACGTTGTCGCGGATTGTATTCTGCAGTTCATGGTCTACACTACCCTTCTGGAACCGGGTGTTCAGGTACTGCCGCAGGTCACGTGTCAGGGACCCTGTTAGAGTACCATATATGCTGTAATTTGGATTCTAAGTTAATTATCAACTTTACTAATAGTCAATACATACTGGATATACATATATAGTACTGTACCAAGGTATTTTAAATGCTAAAATCATATTAGCCAAAGCATTTTAAACATTAAATGAACATTAGTCCAACAAAATTAATATCAACTTCATCAATCTATTTGAAAACCAAAAGAACTGCTTAAAACACACTGGGGTAATGGAAGCTACTGCACCTGTATCAGGTTGTGACAAACTTCAAATAATACAGGGCATTCACATCTTACAAGCTGATAACATTACAGCCATAACTTACAAATTCAAATTACACACATCCACAACCAAATTTACCTGGAGATTACAATGGTGATTAACACCAACAAGTATGCTTAACAATTCACAAATGGGCAAAATTATCTCTCAATCCACAGCAGGGTTTGAACCTACACATTCTGCATCAAACAGTAAGCCACTCAGCCAGATTCCAGATCTGGCTGAGTGTCATGCACATGGGGCCAGGAGCTAGAAATCGACCCCTGCAACCACAAATAGGTGAGCACACGCATGCGCGCACACACACACACACACACACACACACACAAACACACACACACACACACACACATACATAAGAACATAAGAACGAAGGAACACTGCAGCAGGCCTACTGGCCCATGCGAGGCAGGTCCAAGTCTCCTACCGGCTTAAGCCAATGCACCCAACCTAGTCAGGTCTGGTCACATTGACTTAAGGGAGGAACACGGCAACCGACCTGGTAGCACAAGCTATCAGGTCTAACTCACACCCACCCACATCCACTCATGTATTTATCCAACCTATTTTTAAAGCTACACAACGTTCTGGCCTCTATAACGGTACTTGGGAGTTTGTTCCACTCATCCACAACTCTATTACCAAACCAGTACTTTCCTATATCCTTCCTGAATCTGAATTTTTCCAACTTAAAACCATTGCTGCGAGTCCTGTCTAGGCTAGATATTTTCAGCACACTATTTACATCCCCTTTATTTATTCCTGTCTTCCATTTATACACCTCAATCATATCCCCCCTAATTCTACGTCTTTCTAGAGAGTGCAGATTCAGGGCCCTTAGTCTATCCTCATAGGGAAGGTTTCTGATACATGGGATCAACTTTGTCATCCTCCTTTGTACATTTTCCAGAGAATTTATATCCATTCTGTAATAAGGTGACCAAAAACTGTGCAGCATAATCTAAATGAGGCCTAACCAAGGATGTATAGAGTTGAAGAACAACCTGAGGACTCCTATTATTTATGCTTCTTGATATGAAGCCAAGGATTCTATTAGCTTTATTGCGAACACTTATGCACTGTTGTCTTGGTTTCAGATTACTGCTAACCAGAACTCCTAAATCTTTTTCGCAATCCGTAATATTAAGATCTACATTATTTAGTTTATATGTGGCATGGTTATTGTCCTGTCCAACATTTAGAACTTTGCATTTGTCTATATTAAACTGCATCTGCCACTTCTCCGACCACTGCATCAGTCTATTCAAATCTTCCTGGAGTGCTCGAATGTCCTCGTCAGAATGAATTCGACGGCCTATTTTGGTGTCATCGGCAAACTTGCCGATGTCGCTCTTTATGCCCTCATCTATGTCGTTTATGTAGATTGTGAACAGCAGGGGGCACCAACACTGACCCCTGTGGAACACCGCTCGTGACACTTCCCCACTCTGATTTCTCCCCATTTATGCAAACTCTCTGCTGCCTATTTGTCAACCATGCCTCTATCCAGGAAAAAATTTCTCCTCCTATTCCATGTGCTTTAATTTTCCTCAATAGTCTCTGATGTGGGACCCTGTCAAAAGCCTTACTGAAGTCCATATACACAATATCATATTCATTACCATGATCTACCTCCTCAAATACCTTAGTGAAAAAAGTTAATAAATTCGTAAGGCAGGAACGCCCCTTTGTAAAACCATGCTGAGATTCGTTGATTAATTTATGCTTTTCAAGGTGGCTACGAATTGCCTCGGCAATTATTGATTCCATAAATTTTCCCACTATAGAGGTTAGGCTTATTGGTCTATAGTTCGAAGCTAAGGACCTGTCACCTGTTTTGAAAATAGGTATCACATTTGCCATTTTCCACTTATCTGGCACCATGCCAGTTTGTAGTGATATGTTGAAAAGATTAGCCAAAGGTGTGCTAAGCTCCTCTTTACATTCCTTTAGAACCCTTGCATACAGTTCATCAGGGCCTGGGGATTTGTTAGGTTTTAATTTATCACACATATACACACATACACACACCACACAGGTGGCAACATATCAATAAATGCCCTAATACTGCATACAATTCTCTCATGTTATTACAAACTCCAAGTTACACACAACCACAACTTAGATGCCTGTGGAATTTATACTGTAAAAAAGTAGAGAGAGTAAGGAAAATAGAGAATACACATGAAATAGATACAGTACTATATTGAAGTCCATCTTGCTAACCACTCCAATATTGCAGCTGTGAAGTGGAGCAGAAGAACTGGGTAAGTTTAAGCACACGAAACTATAGTAGTGTAAATTGTTCCCTAACCTCCAACCTTGTGAATGCAAAATTCCATAGATTTTTACATCAAATTTTGCATTTTTAGTGTCATTGCCGTAAGAGTTTATCTGTCAGTTTAGAAGATAGTTTTTTGTTTAAAATTGTTACACTGAAGACACTTTTAATTTCTGGGGTCACGACAATGGAAGGGATTAAAAGTAGTAGCAGATTTATTCGTCCAACAATATATCAAGCCCAGAAGGCAAGCCCAGTTAGGCAACTTTATTCCGAAACGTTTCGCCAACACAGTGGGCTTCTTCAGTCGACTGTAATAAAGTTGATAGAATTACCAACAATGTAAAGTAAAAGGACACAAGTGCAACTACTGTGACATTTTACTGTGGCTTCATCATCCATCAATCTTGTAGAATGTGATTGATGGACTGAACACATCGACTCCAGGCTGAGGGACTGATTACCTCAAACTACTCCTCTCCTTACACCTTTCTACTTCCTTACACCTTTCTACTTCTTCAACTTGTCGGTTTTCAAAACCATTCGTCACATTTCTACTTTGTATTGGACTGATGAAGCCACTGTGGGCGAAACGTTTCCTCAATAAAGATTCCCATATGTTGCACAAGTGTCTCAATCTTCAACTTGTCGGTTTTCAAAACCATTCATAACTGCCTAGTAGGGTTATGGAAACTAGGACCTTGGGTAGTTTCAAATTTAGGTTGGATAAATACATGAGTGAGAGGGTTGGATTTGAATGGGACTTGCTCATGAGTGAATGGAGTTATCAGGGCTTGTTTCTAGGGTAGCCCTGCCAATTATTATTATAATCAAGGGGGAAGCGCTAAACCCGGAGGATTATATAGCGCCTGGGGGGGGTGTGGAAGGCATTCAGGCTTAATTCGGGGAACTGGAGCACAGATCCAATTCCCTAAATCAAGAGCCCCTCACCAACATCAAGGAACCTTCCTTGAGGGGTAGCCCTGCCAAGTATGGGCCAAAAGGCCTGCTGCAGTGTTCCTGTTTCCTTATGTTCTTATGGACTTGCCTAGTGTGGGCCAACAGGCCTGCTGCAGTGTTCCTTCTTTCTTATGTTCGTATGTTGTGAAGGGTTACTGAGATGCTTAAAAATGAGCAAGTCACAAGTTAAAATAATTTACACCGATTACCAACAAAAATCAGAAATAAAATATTCATGATATTCGTGGTCATTAATATGAAAAAAAATTTATTTCTGATGAAGATAAATGAAATTGAATATTAAAATAGTATAAAATACCGACAGGTTGTTAGGTAAGACACATATGCAACAGTTAGGTATCTTTATTTCCAAACGTTTCGCCTACACAGTAGGCTTCTTCAGTTGAATACAGAAAAGTTGACAGAAGAGACGTGAAGACGATGTAATCAGTCCATCACCCTTGAAGTTTTGAGGTGGTCAGTCCCTCAGTCTGGAGAAGAGTTGTTCCAGACTGAAACAACATGGGGTTGAAGTGACAGGATGGAGCCTTATATACCGCCAGGTGAGATGTAGGCCACAGGTCGAGGTAAGAATGTAGTCGTTGGGAGGTCACGTCACTTCAACTCCATATTGTTTCAGACGATGGAACAACTCTTCTCCAGACTGAGGGACTGACCACCTCAAAACTTCAAGGGTGATGCACTGATTACATCGTTATGTCCTAGAATTTGTATTGATAAAGCCACTGGATGGCGAAACGTCTACAATAAAGATACCCAGATGTTGCACATGTGTCTTAATTTCATAAATGAAATTGCAAAAATTTAAAATATTTTTTTATACACTCGCAAAATCCAAGTCTAAACCCACCTGTAGAACTGGCCAGCTAACAGCCATCACAACCCAGCTTAACCGTGCTTTTCAAACGAAGTTTTTTTTTATCTTAGCTTAGGAAGCAATCATCTTTTGCCATTAAGACACCACAGTCGGTAGCAGCGCTCATGATACAGACCCGTGTCGGTGATTTTCACTAATACACATAAAATGTTTGCAGAAATGATGACTGCAAAAACGCGCGTCCAACACAGGGACGATGTCGGACACCTCACGAAATTCAGTGAGGTTAAACTGGTGATTAAAGAAGACGATTTAAGACGGAGAAAATGCATAGAAGTTGCCCTAATTGCTGTCTGTAACACTATAAAGCAAAAGTCCAATAGTTACAGTATCTCAAAATTGCTAATCAACAGGATATTGCCCATTCTGGAAACTGCTGTAACATGATATCAAAAGGCCCCTCTGTAGCCATTCGTCTCCACCACCACCACCACCACTACTACTACTACCACCACCACCTCCACCACGATGCTGTGAACACTAACTCCAAGGCCGAGGGACTGATTACCTCATCTTTTGTATATAGTTCTACTGTCTTCCTATTATGTCCTAGAATCTGTATTGATAAAGCCACTGGATGGCGAAACGTCTACAATAAAGATATCCAGA